ATCTATCTATCTATCTATCTATCTATCTATCTATCTATCTATCTATCTATCTATCTATCTATCTATCTATCACATTGTCACTACATGGATGGCTCCGTTTATTTTGCACAGACGGAGAAGAAAGTGATTGCTGAGCAGGAGGAGAAGGACAACATGGTGAGGCTTAGGACGAACCTGTCCATCCCTCTGCTGCCGGAGAAGGAAGAGGACAAGAAGCTGGCAGCGCTGCTCACATACCAGGCACCTGACTGTGAGGAACTAACACACACTCTTTTATCTAACACATATGTCAGGATCTATCACACTCTTTAGGGGCAGAAAGTTACATCGTTATGACATCATAAAGTGGCCAAAATCTGATCAGCTCATTTTCAGACAGGTTTTTATATAAATGGATCAGGACAAAAAGAGAGAGAATCTTTGTTCCTGAAACTTTCAGAGTCTCTTTACACAGAGGGGACACATGTTGATGAAGAAGAGACATGAAGAAGAGGGGACACATGTTGATGTAGAAGAGACATGGAGAAGTGGATTTTGCATAATAGGTGACCTTTAATATTAAGACTCCTTTTAAAATCTCTTCCTATGTCTTTTACCTCTTTCCTCAGCCTATGACGATAAGCAGCACATCAAGAGGAAAGAGATCTCCTCTCGCTCGTGGTTCACCTCCCCGTCTCCGACACCAGGAAGTCCTGCAGGAAGTCTGCTGCATAAGCTGGGTCTCCAGGGGAAAGAGGCCGCCGTGGCCAAAGCCCTGAGCTCCTCTCAGAGCGCGCTGATCCGCAGACGCTCCGCAGGACCCAGAATTGAACCCAGAACTGAACCCTGTGCCACCGCCACGCGCAGAAACTCAAACCCTGAGATCAACACGTGTGAAGGTGAAGAAATGCCGAGTATAAGCCCAACAGAAATGTGTCAGGATGTGACAGAGACTAATGGCTCCAGAGAGACACATGTTAAGACCACAGAGGAAGGAGTGACAACCACAAAGGATTCTGGGAAGGAGAAGGAGAGGGGCAGGAGTTTAGGAGCGCTCACATCCATCATGGCCGACTACAGCGACTCAGATTCAGACTCATGAGGCTGGAAGTCGAGCTTAAAGGGGACAATTTCATTATTTGTTTGTGACTACAATGTCCGTTTTATCAATCATAAACTGGAGATTGAGACTGACTCATCTCTGGTTAGCCATGTATGTTTTTTAGTTTTCTAATCCAAAATGTGAGATTTCAGATTTAAATGTAGACTTGATTCATTGTTTGCAGAATGCCCTGTCAGTAATAGGGCTGCTTCCTTTTAGTTGACACATTTCCTAATTGTTCATTTTGGTATTTCTTCAGATGATTATTTATTTTTAAAAGATTGTTTTCATGCTGAATAACTTAATTTGAAAAGTGCATATCTGGTAGACATTTAAAGTGTTGCTTTTGTATGATTCTTTGTGTACAAATTCTGATTATTTTACACATAAATCCAACTCATTTTGGGACTGTCCTTGTCATACATGTGTTATATAATGACGGCGTGACTTCCACATGTGTCTAATTTGTCTCTTCAAGTTAATCTGACGTGTAAATAAAGGTTTCTTTGCTGACTAAGTTTAAAGTATCTGGTTATTTATTTAGATTCCCATGTTCATTGATCTGATTATAAAACTGTGAGGCACCTTGTAAACATTCATGAAAAGTACTGTGTAAGAAATACCGGGTTTTTGTGACCTGGACGTTACGTCCCAGCTCTTTTGGGGAAAGGGAAGGAACACAAAACCAGATGTTGGTAAAATGTTTTTTTTATTGACAATCTCAACTTAAAATAATTCAAAGACTTGTCCTCAAATAAAAACAACAACAAAGGGCCTGATAGATTGATAGATAGGTACTTTATTGATCCCAATTTGATAAATGTTTGCGTTGCAGCAGCATACAAAACAAAATAAATTATGGGTGCAGTGTGAAACCCGTGTGAAACCAAGAAATAAACGGAACAAAAGGAGGACTCTTAACTAAGAGCTATGTTTGAATGACTTATTAAGGAAAACAAACAATAACCTTGATACTTTAGTTGTCTAACAATGAACAAAAATACATAGAAAACAGCCACCTCTGCTCCCAAACATACAAACTCTGTAAATGTGTTTGTAAGATAAATCGGGACTGGTATGAAATATATTTGTAAATGTTTGGTTTAAAATATATTTATTTTCTATTCTATATTTATGTGTCCTCTCTACATCAGTGCAATTGATTGTTTGTTTTTTTTAATTGAAAATATACCATCAGTTCATCCACTTTTCACTTCCTGTTTGACATCGGTGTCTCCTGAAAAAATAATAATAATAAAACATGAACAGAGAGAAACATTAGCAAGTAAAACGATTGAAGAGAGCTGAAACAAGATGGAACAGGTACATCTTTTTCATTTTAAGATCAGATTTGAATGTAGAAGAGCTTGATGAATGGAGGATCTGGTTTCACATCTCTTCTGTTTCTTGGCTGTGATCTTCTCGTCATTGATCCTATAGGGATGAACACAACCCAACAGTTATAGATCAGGTTTAAAATAAGTGTTTGTTCTTTGAGTTAATGAGCTTCAGAGTCCTGACTGCTCTCATGTAGGTGCGATTATTTGGAAGAATAATGTGTGTGTTTCTAAATGGAAGAAAGACAAAATGAGCTTCAATCGCCCTCGGTCTGGGTCTCCACACAAGATCTCGCCCCGTGGGGTATTGAGAAAAGCTGAGGGATCAGCCAAGAACTACACGGGAGGAACTTGTTAATGATCTCAAGGCAGCTGGGACCACAGTCACCAAGAAAACTATTGGTAACACACTACATAATGGATCAAATCCTGCAGCACCCGCAAGGTCCCCTGATCAAGAAGGCTCATGTACGAACCGTCTGAAATGTGTCAATGAACATCTGAATGATTAAGAGAAGGCTTGGGACAACGTGATGTGGTCTGATGAGACCAACATGTAAATCTTTGGCATCAACTTGACACGCCGTGTTTGGAGGAAGAGAGATGCTGACTATAACCCCAGAACACCATCCCCACCGTCAAGCAGGGAGGTGGTAACATTATGCTTTGGGGGTGTTTCTCTGCTAAGGGGACAGGACGACTTCCCTGCATCGAGGAGAGGATGTACGGGGCCGTGTACCTTAATATTGTCACAATCCTAGTTTTCTGTCAGATCTTAGTTGTCTGTCTTGTCATGATTTTATGTTGAAATTCTGTTCTCCCTGTGTCTTGTCTTCCTTCCTGTGTTTTCCCTCCTGTCTGATTGTCTGATTGTGTTTACCTGTTGCCCTTGTGTTTCTGCCTCCCCTGCCCAGCTGTGTCTTGTCCTGTGATTACCCCTCTTTGTATTTAGTCTTGTCTTCCCCTTTGTTCCTTGTCGGTTCATTTTCTTTCCTGTCTCCCTCCATGTTGGTCACGGTCAGTTTTTACTTTGTTGCTACCATGTGCTACCTGTTTGTTTCATGCCATGATTTGTTCATCAGCTTTTTTTTTAAATAAAGCTCGCTTTTTGTTCCTTGAGCTTTTTACCTTTTTTGTATTCTGCATTTGGGTCCTACCTTTTTCCACGAATCATAACAAACATCTTGGCCGACAGCCTCCTTCCCTCAGCCAGGACACTGAAAATGGGTCATGGATGGGTCTTCCAGCAGGACAATAAACCTTAACATACGGCCAAGCATATTTAGGTGATGGAGCGGCCTTGCCAGTCTCTGGACCTTAATCCCATAGAAAATCTGTGGAGGGAGCTGAAGCTTCCAGATGCCAAGCATCAGCCTCAAAACATTCAGGATTTGGAGAGGATCTTCAGAGAGGGGTGGACCAAAATCCTTCCCTGAGATGTGCACAAACCTGGTGACCAACTACAAGAAGCGTCTTACCTCTGTCAGTCCAACAAGGGTTTCTCCACCAAGTACTAACACATGTTTTGCAAGGGGATCAAATACTTATTTCCCACAGTTAAATGCAAATCAATATGTATATTTTATATAATGTCCATTTCTGGATTTTCTTTTTGATATTTTTACTCTTACTGTTTATATAAACCTACCATTAAAATTACAGACTTTGTTAATTTATTTGTAAGTTGGTAAACTTACACAATCTGCATGGGATCAAATACTTATTTCCTCCACTGTATGCTTGATGAAAGTAGTGAAACAGTCAGATTTGACCTGAACACACGACACGAGGGTTAAGATAACTAAATGTATCTGTTCTTTTACGAGGGTTAAAGTGGGGTTTGGTGTGGGTTAACATATTTTTTTCAACAAAACAAAGAAAAGCCTTAGTTATCCTTTCATATTCAGTGAACCAGGTTTCATGTGAGGATTTAGGAGTGTCACAAAGGGAGGTTGTGTCTTCCATCCCAGCCATCCCTGCCCAAACACTCACCAGTTTACAATAACTGTGAAGACACACAAACCAGGGACCTTCACACACACATAAACACACTTAGACTCCTCATAGAACTGCAACCACAAATGAATATAAACCAAAAAGTATTGATCTTTTTCTAACTTCCTTTCATTAACTCCAATACCTTTGTAAATGTGTACTAGCACCTTCTATTGTGTAATCTTCTCTTTGCTGCTACAGTATGACTGCTTTTAATTGTTATGTTTGTTATTCTAACTGCATCGTGAGAAGACTGCAAAAAGTGGTTGTACCTGAGTGTAATGACAAGAAAGTAGTTTGGCAGTAGCTGAGAGCCTGCAGACCAACAAACCTTTTTGTGTGTCACTTGGATTGATTAGAAACCCTGTGTGTGTGTGTGTGTGTGTGTGTGTGTGTGTGTGTGTGTGTGTGTGTGTGTGTGTGTGTGTGTGTGTGTGTGTGTGTGTGTGTGTGTGTGTGTGTGTGTGTGTGTGTGTGTGTGTGTGTGTGTGTGTGTGTGTTTGTGTGTGTGTGTATGGGTGTGGGTGGGTGGTATTTAAAACAGTCTGTCTGTGGTCACAGTCCACTGAGGCTTCCAGTCAGTCACCATGGCTCGCTGGACGCTTCCCAGTTTATTATTTCTCTTGCTTCTCTGCAGCTCCAACGGACATATTATTTATGGAGGTCCAAGAAGGTACGTCTCGAAGAATTACTCAGATCCTTTACTTACGTGAAAGTACAAATATTATTGTGGTCAATACTCAGTAAAAGACCCGATTTCAAAACAATTTAGCATCAAAATATACGTAAAGTACGAAAAGTACTCGACACAATGGCCCTTTTCAGAATAATATTAAGTACAAACGTATTATCAGATATATGTACTTCAAGTATAAGTAAATATACGTGTTAAGCAGAAAGGATATTTTCATAGTATTTAATTATTATGGTTATTATTATATCCTGTTTTTATTCATAAGGGCAATCTAGTTTGTCAATGTGGACCAAATACTTCAAATACTATGTAGATTACAGCACTGCATTACACCATATCAGCATATCATGTGTTTTTAAACGAAACTGTGAGTGTTATATAAATTAAGTGGACGAAAAAGTACAATATTTGCCTTTGAAGTGGAGTAGAAATATAGCATTACATGGAAATACTCAAATACAAATATGCCTTAGGTACAATACTTGAGTAAATGTTACTTTGTAGTGTGCAATATACCCTCCTGCAACTCATACACAGTACCTCTTTAATTATATAGGGTCACTTTTTAAAAAACAAATACTGCTACCTTTTTACCAGTGTACTTATCTGTTATTTTGTTTTTAACTTATGGTGTTCTCTTATTATTAATATTGTGTGCAAACTAAGTAATTTTACATTTTTGTAATATGTTATTGTTATTTTAAGTAGTAGCCGTATTCAGGGTCAGATATGCAATATGTCCATAAGTCCAATTGTGACCTGACACCAAATGAAAAATGAAAATGGAATTGATTTAATTTACATAACTGTTAAAATATGTTTTTTGTGTGAATTTTATGTGTGTGCATAGTAGCAATGTGGAAGGGACCACACAAAGATATAGATATTTAAACTAAAGTGAATATACATTTTTAAGGCATTATTATTATTCTTATTAAAAAGTGATCATTCTCCACATATCTCAAATGATATGATCTGATCTGCTGTTCACTGACTGGATAATTATCCACGTTATGCCATGAAGTATGATGAGTGTGTACATTGGACATGAACAAACCTAACACAATTTTTGTTAGTATTTGTGACAGATTTTATGAAATGTTGTGATTTTATGACCCATGTCCTGTAAGCATTATAATAAATGACAGATATTTGTATAGGATTTGTATAATTACAATCATTGTATGTTATCATGGTCGTCAAGAGTAGCAAAAGTAGTTGCGGTAGTCCCTATTCTGCTTATTTTCAGGTTCATTTTAGTATGTATTAACTCTACTTTAAAGAGTCCTCTCCTGCTGAAGTTCAGGTGTATATCAGTATGTAGTGTCTCTACTTTAAAGAGTCCTCTCCTGCTGATGTTCAGGTGTATATCAGTATGTAGTGTCTCTACTTTAAAGAGTCCTCTCCTGCTGATGTTCAGGTGTATATCAGTATGTAGTGACTCTACTTTAAAGAGTCCTCTCCTGCTGATGTTCAGGTGTATATCAGTATGTAGTGTCTCTACTTTAAAGAGTCCTCTCCTGCTGAAGTTCAGGTGTATATCAGTATGTAGTGACTCTACTTTAAAGAGTCCTCTCCTGCTGATGTTCAGGTGTATATCAGTATGTACTGTCTCTACTGGGACATGTCTCCATGCTTTAATGTTCAAAAAGTTATTTATTTTTCTCATACTGCCTGTGCTGCAGCACCTCTTTTCACCCTCTGTCTGAAACCAGAGCCCAGTCTGCTCTGATTTAGCCTTTGCAGACCAAAATGGAACACACTACAGGAAAGACAGAAAAAGCATAATAGGGCCTCTTTAAAGTTGTGGCAGCCCCCGCCTCATTCATGAAAGTTTTCCTGCAGGTTTACTGTGCTAGCTCCAGACCTGCTGAGGACAGACAGCCAGGAGAACATCTTCCTCCAGGCAGAAGGTCTGTCCTCCCCCGTCACTGTCTCCATCTCCATCATTGACTTCAGTAAGACCACCACGCTCCTGCAGGACTCCGTCACACTGAATCTGGAAAATGGATTTCACACTCTCAAAACTCTTCAGGTAACAATTAATCAGAATTTCGACTTGAAAGAGACATGTAGTGGCTTAAAATGTCTAAAGCAGCCACTTCCAACATACAGGGGTGCGATTTCAGTGAACAAATAATCCAAAACGATTATCCATTTGTCAAGATGAATCCATTTATTTTCCATTTTCACCATACATCCCTCCTACTGAGTGTGTCTGGTTGAACTGGTTTAGCTTCCCTCATTTAAAACCAACCCCTTCCCCATAAACAGACATAATATAGCAAATAGAAGACCAAGGGGTGTCAACAAATATATTCAGGCGCGTAAACAACTAAGGTGAGTAGATAAATATTCAACAAATAATATCTGTAGGCCATGTATACTAATAAAGCAAGACATATTAAACAATAAAATAAAAACACAACTTACATAATAAACTCAGTTTATGGCTCGTACAAGACATGAGTGTAAATTGGCAAAAACTCACTTGTCTTAACCACCTATACTTAGAAAATAAAACTCACCAAGGAACACACATAAAACAAACGAACATACATTTGGAAAGCAACATGGAATAAAAAACAACAATAACTGGGTAAATCTAATCAAATTTTTTGTCAATTTATTGAACATGTCAGAAACAAAACATACAAGAATAATAATAATATATATATATTTTTCCTTCTTGTTTTTTCTCACTCATAATAATAATTATAACAAAGTAAAAAAAAAAAATAATACAAAAAAAACAAAAAAACAAATAAATAATAATAATTCTCAAATAGTCTCTGTCATGTTCAACAGGGGCAAGAAGAAGCTTAACAAAAACTTTTCTGGTCCTACCCCCTCTAGCATACATTTTCCTTATAAATAAAATATTAGGTCATCGTCATCAGCGATATGTTTGTCTTGTTAATTTGTTGTTTTTTTTACAAAACAATCAGAAAGAAATTACTTTTACAATTACAAGAAATAACAAATGGGATTTTACAGGTCCTGTTCATAACCATTAATGATTTGGCTCCTAAATAATACTTTCAGTTTAGATAGACTTGTACAATATTTCAGTGCATCATTACCTCCCCCAGCTCTCCTCGAATGGCTTGGAACGCGAAGAAAAGAAGAACAAGTTTGTTCTTCTGAGGGTGGATTTTATTGGCCACCACTCGATGGAGAAGATACTGATGGTGTCCTTTCACTCTGGATACATCTTCATCCAGACAGACAAGCCCATCTATAAACCTGGAGATACTGGTGAGAGCAGGAGACACTGATAAAACAATCCAAAAGTATAATAATAACATTGGAATTTATTTTATCTATAATCTGGCATGTAGCATCTCTTCTATTTTTGAGATGTATGTCTTTTTATGCATGGTCCTTGTTTAATAAAGACATATAATACAATAATAAATAACATTACCGCAATGTAACGTAGAATGTGCGATGAAACTGCTGCTTCTGTTTGATGCAGAAGGTTTGCATTGGATTAGATTAAAACATATTTTCTTTCCAGCAAAAAGATGCTGTAGTTTAATCCACTTTTTTGTTATGGATATAGTGGTAATAGCAGCAGGAGATGTATGAGGAGCAGTTATATTAATAATGCTAATAAAGGCTGCTGTACATATAGTGAATATTTTATTTTGGGTGTTTTTTAGGCTGATTTCTGTCTCTTTCCCTTTCCAGTTCGTTTCAGAGCGTTCACGTCCTCACCAACTTTTAAGGCCTTTAACAGCTCCGTCACAATAGATATCCAGGTAAACAAATAAAAACAAGACCATTTAAAAACATTACCTTGGTGCGTTAAGGTGCATTTTTCACAATTTTACAGTCTAAAGGCTGGACACACCGAGCCGATTTCGGCCGTCGATAGATGTCGATAGATCAATCAATCAATGTTTATTCGATAGATGTCTGGCCGTCGATAAGCGTCCTGTTGCCCTTCTCAGATTGGTGGCGTCGTGTCTTTTCGGCCGTGCCGACACCTTCCGCCACCGATTCGACATGTTGAATCGGTAGGCTGTCGGTAAAAGGCCGTAGGCAAAATGAATCACTGCCTAGCGAATCAGTGCATGAGAAGCGAAACGGAAGTGAGGAACCCAAACAAACGATTAAGAAGGCAGACACAGACGGCTATTCTTTTTCATTTTCATCTCACCTGGACGCAAGAGTTTATTTTTCATCATGGCGATCTGGAATGAAGAAACCGAAGACCAACGCACACGCTATTTGTTGTTTGTTTATATCACGCAGTCTGTTATTTTTCTCTCAGTGTATCACGCAATCTGTCTTCCGCTTGTTGCCTCTTTTGAATGACGAATACACACTACCTCCGCCTGCTGGTAAGGAGAGTCATTGCCACTCACGCATGCGCAGTTCGTACGGGCTTCTTGGCCGTCGGCTGAAGTCTTTGCGGTGTGTTCCAGTGCGACTGTTGGCCAAGACGCAGGAGACGTGAGGCGACACAACAGTCGTGTTCCGTCGGGACGTGTCCTTTGGTGTCAGCTTGGTGTGTCAGGGCCTTAATCTGCATAAAAAGCTTAGTAGATGAATTGATTATGAAAATGATATTTTTTGCAGCCCTGGTTTATGTAAAGTTTAAGTATAGATGTTGAAATGGGATGTAAAAAAGAATATTAAGATATTCTACCTGGTGTAATGCTTTGGCAACACAACAGGTCATAGGTTTTGATATTGTTTTATCCATATTCTGTTTTTTAGCTCAATTGTTATTTTGTTTGTGTGTGTGTGTGTGTGTGTGTGTGTTTCAGAATCCCGACGGTGTGGTGGTTAAACAGGTCTCCAGGATCCGAGCTTTTGATGGCGTTTTTGCTGACACTTTTCCTCTCTCAGAAATTGTCAAGTAAAATCAAATTATTCGACTCATCATTTAACTCCTTCAACTTTATGCTAATGTAGGTTTTTGTTTAAATATATTTTCATTTGACAGTTATCAAGCTTCACATATGAGTGATTGTAGATTATTTAATTGGTTAATTGCTTTTTGTTTTACCTACTTTTAAAATCATTTAATTACTGCACACACAAGACTGCATACAATCTAGAAGAAGTCAAAAGGCTTTTAATGACCTCCCTTCAACTTAAGGAGAAAATAAAACATTAGAAAAAGGAAATTAATTTGTAAAAAAGTAATAAAACAACTAAATAAAAGCACTCAAAGTGGTTAGTAGACCCAAATAAAATAAGACAATACATTGTAGAAGAAAGTACGTTGCCAATCTTACAAATCTATTTTGCCTAAACAAGTTAATGAAGATTTGAGTGGATTAAATAGTTTAAGAAATAGGGAGGTATTAGGTCACAAAATCATACGGACACACAGGGTTCCAGTAGGATACATACTTTGATCTCTGATGTGATGTTTGTCTTCGGCAGTGAAGGACAATGGACAGTGATTGCAAAATTTGACCACTGGAAGCAGAACACCTTCACCTCCCAGTTCCAGGTGAAGAAATATGGTAGGTCAACTTAAACAAGACTTACTTGTTATTTACCGTTAGGCATCACATCTTTCCATATCTGAATATCACTTTTCGGTTGAGGTATAACGTAGCATTTGTATTGCGTGTTGTGTTTCAGTGCTTCCTGCTTTTAATGTTACTCTGACGCCCAGGAAATCCTTCCTCGACCTGGATGATACTGAACTGGAAGTAGAGATCTGGGCCAGGTTGGTCTAACACACACACACACACACACACACACACACACACACACACACACACACACACACACACACACACACACACGTTAAACCACTGTAATTGACAATCAACCTACCTACCTCAATCTTGTACTTAATTTGTTCTAAACCTCTTCCTAACTTTATCTCTTAACCTGTTACGCACCATCCGCCCGGTACCGGGCGGATAAACGCGTCATTTGCAGGAAACAACGTCTAAGGAATCTTAATATTTAATAAAACTATGAATGTTTTATATCCATGTAACGGGAAGAAACTCAGCTAACTGATCTTTTTAATTTTTTTTTCCAAAAAAACCCCACAATGCTAGCACTCAGCCTCTGAATTAGCCACGAGCGAAAACATTTAACCTAAAACGGCACTTAAACTCACAATAACTCCCTTATTACTTATCCTAGATGCACAGCCAACCACTCGTTTTTGGTGTCCTGGAGACACTGAATCTAGTGGTGCCCACCTCAACACTTAGTGATAAACATTTGCGACGCTATAAACGAAAGCGTACATCATAACATGTGGAGCAAAGTAGCTAGAAACGCTAACATGGCTTACCTTGGTCAAAACTGGTCTTCAATGGCATTAAAACGATAAAAAAAGATGCTGCAGTTAATCCATAGGTTCATCCAATGTATCTGTGCCCTCTTTGAAATTATTTCTGATAATCCATAAGCAATAAAACTGCTTTTTTGTTTCCAAATGCCAGAGCTAGAATGTAGCTCCACTCTGCTTTACATGCGCGCAGCCCCCACCTTTTCTCTTCACAATGTGTGTGTGTGTGTGAGCCTCCCCCTTCGATTCTATTGGCTCTAACGGTCAGAAAGAGGTGTCAACCATCAAAATCGAGCAAGGGGGGCCAGAGATATGGAAAAAAAAACATTTTCACCCAAATCACCTCAGAGGTGGGGTGGATTTGACTAAACCTCTCTAAAAAGGTCAAATGTCACTTGTTTTGCATCAATCTTGATACAGGGTACTTATTATATGTTGTACTTTGGATTCCTAAAGCTTTTAGTCTACTAACCCATCATCCAAGGGTAGTTTTCACTATCTGTAAAAAATAATTTTTGGACGGACACTATAATTTATAGTTTTTTTACTATGTAAAATCTGAATTTTCTTTAAAATAAAAAACATTTATATTGATTCTGACACTTCTACATCCAACTCACAGATGTAACCTTGCTTTGATAAAATAAATTATTCATATAACCCTTTTAGAAGTTAAGTTGTAGTCATTTGTTTTGGGCATGTAATTTTCGAGCCTGAAACATGAAAAACAGGCTTGGTGCTTAACAGGTTAAACCATACTCAAATATATTTGAACGCCAACAAATAAGGACTGAGGCAAGATTGTCTATTAGATACAAGCATGTTCTGTGATTTGGAAATTGTAACATCTATCTGTTTTCAATAAATGTCTCTTTTTGACTGAGGATTGAGAGATGAGTCGGGGCTGTGTGAAGGGGGAGAAATGGGAGTCCAAGTTTTTCATAATAATAATTGAGAAGTTTACATAAATTATTATCATACTAAACCACAGGAACATACACATACACTTTGTTTAATAGGATACTGATTAATATATAGGGATTTTTGAATATGTACGCAAATATTAAGTGCTCACTATTGACTTCCCATTGTGCAAGGGCAATCGATCCTCATACTAAAACACAGGAACATACACATGAACCTTGTTTATTAGGATATCTGATGACATAAGGATATTCCTCCCAAATGTTCAGGTCTATTCGAAAATATAAAGTATGAAGACTTCCTATTGTGTGATCGTTGTGTCTCAGATACCTGTATGGGGAGCCGGTCCAGGGCACGGCCTATGTGGTGTTTGGAGTGAAGATCAACCAAGAGATGAGGAGGTTGCCAGCAGTGAAGCAAGTGACAGATGTGAGTCACTGCTTAATCTGAAATACTAGGCTGCTGTCACTGACTACATACACATGCACAACATATTCATTTTCTTGCTATTTATCAGATAAAAGACAATATTCCTACTAAGCTGTGTACGTGGCTAACATTGGTGTTGGAGGCGGTCAATTCCTTTCCGGAGCAATTCGTAGTTATACTAAACTAGATATCTGGTGATTTACTTTCTGTGTTCCTGTTTTCCTGCAGCTGGACGGAGGAGTGGTCAAACTGAGCATGGAGGAGATCAAGAGAGCTCACCCCAACATCAGATCTCTTGTGGGCAGCTCTTTGTATGTGAAGGCCTCCGTGCTCACTAAGTCAGGTCAGCACTTCATGTCACAAAGTCAACCCTGTCACTAATCATACAATTGATCTTTCCTGGGAACTAAAACTAAATGTGCTGTGCGGTGTTATTGTTGTGTTTGCATTGTTCCTGTCGCACCACACCACATCAAAACAAATCCCCTTCACCAGATAAGTCTCACTTACACTGACTTTTTCTTTTATTATTATTATCTAACCTCCTACTTGAGATACCTTCAAGTGGCCAAGACCTTCAACGGGCCCTTTGAATATCCCTAGGTCATCGTCCTTGTCATCCATCTCGCTGGCCAGCACATTGTGTGTTAGATGGAATCTGTTCAAGGTGTCACCAGTGTGAAATCAGATCTTACTGCATTTTAACTCAGAAAATGTTTTTACTTTTCAGGAGTAAGAAACTATTTTCTTTTTTTGGAACAATGAACTCTTCAGCCTCGCCTCAGACTGCAAGTGGGTTCTCCAATTCAGTTGATACAGTATAGAAGTGGTCGTCATGCCCAGGTGATGAAACAAATGGGCATGGCAGGGGAATTGGTAGGAAGTTCGAACGCAGTGGTCTGGCTCTTTCATCCTTTAGGTAGGACCCATCCACAGAAGATGTTGTGACGCCCAACTCCAATGTCATCCTAATGACACAGTTTGGTTACTGACATCACATGTTGCATGTTTTATCGTTGGATCCCTAGTCCGTCTAGATCAGCGTTTTTCAAAGTGTGAGGTGCGCCTCCCCTGGGGGGCGCAAGAGAGCTTCAGGGGAGGCGCAGCGTGAGAAAAAAATAACGAGAAACAGTGAAATCTAGCTAGTTAACTTCAGCTAACTTTATGCGAGCGGCAACATGGATCGATTTTTAGTGAAGTTACCTAAAGTGAAAGAGGAGACAGCGTCTGGCAGAAAACGACAGCTTTGTTTTGTGGCTCATCGGACATTTATGAGAGAAAGTCTCTAATGTCCGAGTCAGAGGTCGCGTTAACCGAATATTTTCCGTCTATGACGTAATTTTTCCAAGAATGACGGAAAACTCTGAAAGCAGTCCGTCATTTTGACAGATTAGAACACAACTCGGAACAGTGCCAAAATGTCCACCAGCGGCCCACATTATATTACATCCTTAGTGGCCAGGTCGACTGAGGGCGATCTACTGTACTCTACTGTAACTATTATTTAGTAATTCACACCCCTGTCCAGTTGGTGGCGAGTGTGTGCATATTAAGTAGCTATTGTCTAGTCTTGTATTTGACCTCGTTGATTACCTCATTGTTTAACCGGCTTTAGCAATCGCAAATTGTCACGGCAGCTGAGTGTCCAAAGCTTTTTGAATAAGCCCAGTAATTGTGATGGTGTGGATAAACGAGGTGAAAAAAGAGGGATTGATGCAGTGGAGGATGAAGGACAAGCCAGTAAGACTAAAACTGACAACATTCAGCCAGCAGCAGAGGGACAAGCAAGTGGCAAGGAAAAATAAATCATTCATATTCGTTTTGACATGAAAAGTGACCGCACGGTCGGTGTCTCTGTTCATCTTTTTTTTCTCCATGCCCTTAAAAGTTCTGTATGAATCATAAAAAAAAGGAATGAATGAACATTTGCTGCTTAGTACCCAAACATAAATATTAAATATGTCTCATCATTAAAACATGAAAAATAAAATGACGGGTAATAATGGATTATGACGGAAATGTCACGATCCTGTCCGTCAAAATGACGGACAACGAAAAGGTCTAACGCAGCGGTTTTCAAAGTGTGAGGCGCGCCTCCCCTGGGGGGCGCCAGAGAGCTTCAGGGGAGGCGCAGCGTGAGAAAAAAATAAAGAGAAACAATGAAATCTAGCTCGTTAACTTCAGCTAACTTTATGCGAGCGGCAACATGGATCGATTTTTAGTGAAGTTACCTAAAGTGAGAGAGGAGACAGCGTCTGGCCAGCCCAGTTGGAAGCTTTGTTTTGAAATAAAAGTTGTGGCTCATCGGACATTTATCAGAGAAAATCCCTGATGTCCGAGTGCAAGTGAATGCAGCACAAGACGCGAGCCTTGTAACCCTGGCGCGAGCGAGGAAATGTGATTGGCGGCGATTTCATTTGAACGGGCGGCAGAAAACGAGAAGCATTCGGACCCAAGTACACGGAAGGAATAAGGTATTTGCGGTCTACAATGACAGAGAAGAGACTGTCAAGTTTGGCTGTGCTCAGCATTGAATCAAAACGCACTAAAGCTTTGGATGTTAATACGTTTGTGAGGCGTTTTGCTGAACAAGATGGTAATCGCCGCATTCAGCTGTAATAGGCATGCCAACTTGATGCTCTGCTCACGGATGACTCGAGCATTAAAAACTGTTAAGATGATGACCTTACGTGTGTACATATATTTTTTTCTTTGTGGGGGTCTGCCCTGAGAAAGTCAAATAAGATGGTGTGTAAAACTACACTGCCCAGACAAAAATAAGTAACCACTTTGATTTAACTAGGCCAGTAGGTAAGGGCATTCCACTGGATAATAATACCCCTGCATTATAGCAACAACAATAATAATAATAATAATAATAGCAATAATAATTGGGAGGGGGGGCGCGGCTGTTCTTATATTCTCTGAGGGGAGGCTCACCTTCCCACACTTTGAAAACCCCTGGTCTAACGCAACCACTGGTCCGAGTGCAAGTGAATGCAGCACAAGACGCAAGACTTGTTACCCCTCCCCCGGCCCTGGCGTGACCGAGGAAATGTGATTGGCGGCGATTTCATTTGAACGGGACGGCGCATTCGGACCCAAGTACACAGAAGAAATTAGGTATTTGCGGTCTACAATGACAGAGAAGAGACTGTCAAGTTTGGCTGTACTCAGCGTTGAATCAAAACGCACTAAAGCTTTGGATCTTAATACGTTTGTGAGGCGTTTATGCGTTTGTGTAGGCCAACTTGATGCTCTGCTCACGGATGACTCGATGAGCATAACAAACTGTTAAGATGATGACCTTACGTGTGTAAATATATTTCTTTGTGGGAGTCTGCCCCCAAAAAACAGTTTTAACTCTTGAGAAAGTAAAATAAGATGGTGTGTAAAACTACACTGCCCAGCAAAAAAAAAGTAACCACTTTGATTTAACTAGGCCAGTAGGTAAGGGCATTCCACTGGATAATAATACCCCTGCATTATAGCAAAAACAACAATAATAATAATAATAATAATAATAGCAATAATAATTGGGAGGGGGGGCGCGGCTGTTCTTATGTTCTCTGAGGGGAGGCTCACCTTCCCACACTTTGAAAACCCCTGGTCTAGATGCTTCCATAAATGGAACCAAAAGTGCTATTGTACACGCCTCCCGAGGGGACGATTGACTCCACCTTTGAGTCTCGTCCAGCCAACACAGAACTCTAGATCACCATAGATGTTTCCTCCAGCTTCTTGACTGGATCAAGACTGACAGCTGGATCATGACCACTCCCCTGTAACACATGATGCCTCTGGCAAGCAGGATCGAGTAGTGGTGGGAGTAAACACTGGGACCCCGATCTCAACAGGACTGCACCCAAAACACACCCAATCTGATCTGACTGGGATTGCACAGCACATACAGATGGCTTACAACCGTATGGTATAACGACACAGACAATGATTTTCCAGAATATATATTTCTCAGCAAAGGAAGCAAGCATAGACCGATTTGTTGCTTTAGGTTTGATATGAGGAGACATTAGCTGAATTTGACAAAAGACTACCAGTTATTAAAACTCTCCACATCCAATAACTCAAGAAAACATGTGACATTAAAAAGGAATCAAGTTTACCTTAAGACAACAAAGAGTGGTATAACATTGTATCAAAAAGTCTACATCTCACAGGGGAAACTTGAGTCTGGGTTCCTGAAAGTATCCAGGTTTGTGGTTATTGTTATGTATGACCCAGAGTTTCCTCCTTTACAGGCAGTGATTTGGTTGAAGCAGAAAAGACTGGCATTAAAATTGTGGAGTCTCCGTATGCCATATCCTTCAGAGACGTACCAAAGTACTTCAAGCCGGGCCTGCCCTTGGACTTCACAGTAAGGACCATCTTCTGTGTTAAGGATCACTTTGCAAAAACTGGACTTTTGTTTTTATTCAGTCAAACAAAAAACCACAAGTGGATCCTCTGTGTCTTGGGTCCAAACTCGGGTGAAAAACTGTAGTCACAGAGGTCCATTTTCCCCCAAAAATAACAGATCCAAGTGAGCCAACATGACGGTTCTCCAGCCAGAAACGTCATAGTCAAAATGAAATTTCTAGACACGCCTTTGGTTGTGTCCTCCGGCACCACCAGAGCCACCGTCAACATGCCTCCACAACAACGCGCACAAACCATCACTGTGAGTACGACTGCATTCTCACAGAGCCTTGACCCAGCTTATCTTTACGTTATTAATCATTATCTATAGACAAAACTGCTCTAGTGAAAAATGCGATGTGAAGGTTTTGCTTTTGCTTTAGATGACAGCACATTTACTTTTGGATTTGGAATAAACAAGCTACTTTCTACTGATTATTCATAATGTCAATCGAGTTGTTTTATAAACAATAATCAAGATAGTCTTTATGTGCAGTGGTAGTTGGCGGAATGACATCAGGTTATTTTTCTAAATGTGCAAAACCTGGAATAGAGCATCTTTTAAAGACATTATTTTGTCATTGTAATAATAGACGTTATTATCGTTATTGACCCCTGAGATACATAATGGCTATTCGTGTAACGCATTGAACAATCTTTTTTTCGAACAATGCTTGGTTCTCTTTACATGACAAGTGATTTAGCTGACACTTTAATGTAAAGCAGCACATACTTCAATACCGTTGACATGCCTATGTGAGCAATTTTGGGTTTAGGTATCTTGCCTAAGGAACGTACATTGGCTGTGGATCGAACCTCTGATACTCTGATTGGTAGACGGCTACCTACCCCCTGAGCAAAAAGCCAGTAAGGCTACCTTAAGGATTATCAAAAGCAAAATCTCACACTTTATTTTGTTTTCCTTCTGCTTCCCAGGCTGAGACGGTGCAGGCTGGACTCAGACCAGAGCAGCAGGCCAAACAACAGATCACTGTTCAGCCGTTCGCCGCCTTTAGTAGCTTTAATCAGAACTACCTGTACATCTCCACAGGGACCAACACAGTGTCCGTGGGAGACAGACTGTCCCTGAAGATGAGCATCAGTGTTGAACACCCGATATACAGACACACACACATCACCTACATGGTAAGACAAGAACACAGCATTACAATTCCATTACAGCACGTTTCCAATACACATGGAAACCAGGAAGTACAAGTAGAACCTTCTGCAACAAAATCGTACTAAACTAAGAAAATAAAACACGGATTTCTCCTCAAAACAATAGGTGCTTAATAAAGGCAAAATCATTGTTGCTGAGCGTGTGGATGTGGCAGGTCAGCTGATCACCAGCGTCGACCTTAATGTCACCCCGGAGATGATGCCCTCATTCCGTTTTGTGGCTTTCTACCGTATCCCCTGGAATAGGGGTGAGGAGTTGGTGCCGGACTCCATCTGGGTGGATGTGGAAGATTCCTGCGTTGGAGGGGTGAGTCATCAGCTCTCACTACATGTGTCTGTTAACATGCAAACACACTCTATTCCAACTGAGAGGTTGTAAGCATAAAAGATAAGGCTGGCAATGTTCTTTATATTTTCATAGTTTCAACAAATCCTATGAAAAAAACAAGTGGAATCCTTGAACCTTAAACCTGCACTTCTTCTAACGGCCTGCAGAGGGCGACATCTCTGGTTGCAAAAATAAGTTTGATTGTATGGGAGACTATAAGAAAATTACCATTCTTCTCCGTTGATTTATTACCTTGGTAATCATTTTCCTGACGTGTTTATTGTCTCAATCGCTAGTTTTAAGTCTTTAAATTTACAGCATGATGATCATTTAGTAAACTATGTCCAATTTAGAGGATGGACGATAAAGCAGAGCATGCTTTAGTGCGGGGCTACCAGTGTTTGGTTTCGATGCTCTACATATTTTCGTGTTAAACTTTATCTCTTTCATAGTGTGTTTTTCAAATGTCCATTTATCGTTTGCTCCACCATCTCATGTCAATTATTGTAACAAGCAAGATTGCAACGGCCAAAATGCCAAGAATGGTTACAATGAATACATCTCTAAACATTGACGTTTCGGGATATACTGAGCCTTTTGATAAAATGAAGCTCTTTTTATAGATTTGAGTCGATTCAAGCTCAGACTCAAGAAAATCAGAAATTATTGGGAGACATATTGATTTTGTTCTTTTTGTGGGGTTTGTTGAAGAAAAATATGGAATGAAGCTAACCTTATTCTTAACCTGTTAAGCCCGAGAGACCCCGGTACCGACGCCCTCCCGCAACATCTTGCAGGAAACAGTGTCTGAGGGCATGTTCATTGAATAAACTATGAATGTTTTATATTCATGTAACGGGAAGAAACTCATCTAACTGATCGTTTTTATTTTTTTTTCAAAATAAAACCCACAATGCTAACGCTGAGCCTCTGAATTAGCAACGAGCGAAAAATGCTAACAGATTACTGCACCGAAAATCACTCACAAAACCTTATTATTTATCTTTTCTGCACATCCATGACATCGATTCACATCGTGAGGTAACACAGAATCGAAGGGTACCCTCATTATCACTCAATTATACGAAATCGCGACTTTATAAACAAAAACAGACATCAAAACATGTGGCGCTAGGTAGCTAAAAATGCTAACATGGCTCACCTGTGTCTTTGTCTGGTCAAAAGTGGTCTTCAATGGCATTAAAACAATAACAACACTGCTGAAGTTAATCCATAGGTTAATCCAATGTGTCTGTGTCCCTTTGAAATGATTTCTGATAATCCATGATCAATAAGACTGCTTTTCCGTTTCTAGATGTCAGAGCGAGAGATAGCTTCACTCTCATGCAAAACTACATGCGCAAAGCCTCCACCTTTTTGTTTTACAACGTGTGTGTGTGGGGGAATCCCCCTTCGATTCTATTGGCTCTAACGGTCAGAAAGAGGTGTCAACCATCAAAATCGACAAAGGGGGGTCAGAGATATGGAAAAAACCATTTCCACCCAAATCACCTCAGAGGTGGAGTCTTTTTGCTAAACTTCTCTAAAAAGGTCAAATGTCACTTGTTTTGCATCAATCTTGATACAGGGTACTTATTATATGTTGTACTTTGGATTCCTAAAGCTTTTAGTCTACCTTACCATCATCCAAGGGTAGTTTTCACTATAAGTAAAAAATAAATTTTGGACGGACACTATAATTTACAGTTTTTTTCTATGTAAAATATGAATTTTCTTTAAAATAAAAAACATCTGTATTGATTCTGACTTTTCTACATCCAACTCACAGGTTTATCATTACTTTGAGAAAAAAGATTTAACACTTTTAGAAGGGAAGATATGGTCATTTGTTCTGGGAATGTCATTTTCGAGCCTAAGACATGAAAAACAGGCTCAGGGCTTAACAGGTTAAATACTAATCTAAGACTCAATATTGTTTGACAAGCTATCCAGAAAATGTGATATTTTATTCTGTTTTTCACTCTTTCGTTTATCTCTTAAAGCTGAATGTCGGGCCGGTCGACGGCGTAGGTCGAGACTACACGCCTGGGAAGAGCTTTAGTTTCCAGATCAGAGGTGACCCGGGGGCAAAGGTCAACCTGGTGGCCGTGGACAACGCTGTGTTTCTGCTCAACAGGGACAGACTTACACAGGGGAAGGTGTGTGTGTGTGTGTGTGTGTGTTTGTGTTTGTGTTTTTTAGGGAGAAAGTGTGTTATACACATTATAAATACAGAGAGTAAGGCAATCAATCCAAGGCATAATGTAGAATCTGTAATGTCTGCACATTGAACTACCGCTACTTTAATTGATAAAATGAAGTATCGCATCTGCAACAGATAATATTTAATATATGATACAGCGCAAACAGTTTTTAGCATGAACCAGATCACTATGCTCGTCACCGGCTTGAGCTTCAATATCAGGATCCATGTATTTATTATCCTCTCAAGAATGGAATTAGTCATCATATACAGAGCATTTGGTACAACTAGTTCCTGAACAGTGTCCTTCACATGCTTTTATAAAACGGACAAGTCAAATCAAGCAATCTGATTGGTTCTTAGCCGTGATATACTGAGCGTATACCACGGGTAGAATTGTAGTTACTTTTCACAACAAGTCAGTATCCCTCCGCGTCTGAGAAAAACTGTATACAGTTGGGCTGAAAAGCAAACAAGAAAACAGCGGAGAAGTAACGGGGCAGAAACCCTCCTTTTAAGGCAGCGGTACAGACATAGACATCAAATGGCAAAACATATTCAGTGTGCAGTACCTTTGGCATTAGGGCAGGGATATCTAGATACTTTCCAAGGTTTGACATAATGAATTGTGCTACTTTTAAGCAAGCAAGCAACGTTTGTTTTCAAATCTGTAATCAAAAAGGTCCGCAAAAACGCTATCGACCAATCAGATCGCTTGATTTGATTTGTCCGTTTTATAAATATATTTACATTTCTTCCGTTACGAAACAAACTTACAAAGCATAAGATGGAAACATTTAAGATTAACTTCGACCTCCGGGGGGGTCTTACTATGGAGGAGTGGATTGAGGAGTGCCTATCTCCAGAAAAAAAAGCACCTAAACGACGACATGCAGAGCTACGTCAAGAGCAAGTAGACTAACTGGAAAAGTACCACCATTCAAAAGCTTTCTGATGCGGGTCTTGAAACAAAGCAGAGAAATGATGACCGTTAGTGGCCACAGGTGCGAAAGCTCTCTCCAGAGCTACTGGAAGCCGAATCTCGGGGACCGGAGAAAGTCGAGCAATATTCTCGCCACGCCAAGCAACAGCCTAGTGCAACCTCAACCTATACAAGTAACCTCGTTAGCCATTCTACTGATACTGGACAGTTTTTCAGTGGGTGCAAAATAAACGGCAATATACAAATTAATGTAAATAAATAGCCAAATAATGGATCAACGCTCTCTGTCTAATATGTTCGCTAGCTGTTAGTGTTGTTGCATAGCAACCACCTCGCACTATGTTTCGTGCAGAAGGCAACGGAGGGACTATTTTATTTTGAACATCATTATTTACTAATAAAAACGATTTAAATTAGAGTGTGTATTTTTCTTTCATATTGCCACACTTGGTAACCATTTTAGAAAAGCAATAGCTCACGACAGGCCACGGTATATGCTCATTATATCACAGCTAAGGGGTGTGGTTCGGCCCGACGCGAAGCGGAGGGGGAGTTACACAGTCACAAGATGGAGGAATACCGGTTCTTCTAGGTAATCATACATCCTGTCATGTACAATACTGAGTTTTTTCTCAAAATGTTGTATTTTTCTCAAAAAGTAAAAATTCTGACTTTTCCCCAAAAATTATGACTTTTTCTAAAAATCAAAAAATTCTGACTCTTTCCCAAAATCTAAAAATTCTGACTTTTTCCCCAAATCTCCAAATTCTGACTTTTTCTCCAAATTCTGACTTTTTCTGAATACTTAAAAATGTTAATAATCAGTCGTCACCGGCTTGAGTTTCAATCTCAGGATCCATGTATTTCTGATCCTCTCAAGAATGGAAGTAGTCATCACATACAGAGCATCAACTATGAACAGTGTCCTTCACATGCTGATATCCAAGAGAGGGAGTTACACAGTCACAAGATGGAGGAATATAAAGCAGTATTCAATGTTTAGTTCAGATTAGCTCCGCGTCAGAAATGATCATGCTTGTCATATGTCTATCTCCATAGAGGCTGAATCATCATGTTAATCACATAGCTATCATATGCCTAAAACAGTCCTGATGCGCTTCTAGGTAATCATACATCCTGTCATGTACACAGCTACAGTTGATACCTTTGTTATCATGTGTGCTCTGATATTGGAAGAGTACATTCAGTATTTTCCCAACAGTTATTGATCATCTTTGTTTCCCAATTTGCTTTTCCAGAAGTAATCCTTACATTCAAATATGTACAACATAGTCGTTTTAGCTAAAATACAGAAATATATTTTTGAAAATGCGTCAACAAGTTTTGAAGATTCCGTTCCCTAAGTGTTTTTGTTTGTTGTTTTATACTAAGCTCAAAAACCCTAACCCTAACCCTGACCCATGTCTTCCCAGATTTGGGGCGCGGTGGAGCACGGAGACATCGGCTGCACCCGAGGGGGAGGCCAAAATGCCCTGGCGGTGTTCTCAGACGCTGGACTGCTCTTCGCTTCCAGCACCGGGCTCCAAACTGTTTTTAGAAAAGGTAACTACGAGCTTGGAGCCACTACGCGCTCAACCCTGGTGTTTGGTGAATTTGGGCTATTACAATATTGTAAAAATGTTAGTGATATGTCAAGTTGGCCTTGTTTTGATTATTACATGTTGACTTTACCCACTGAATTCACTTGTTATCCACTAACTTTCCCTCAAGCTGGTAAGCAAAACACAGAGTAGTTCACGGGATAACTTTATATCCTGTGTTTTAATCAAATTCCCTTCTTGTTCTTGTCAACTTATATGAGTCATTATAGTTATTATTGCTTCATTTTTGTATTAGCAATTAAACATGTCTCTCAATTAAATGAATGAGGAGACAGGGGCAAATTCTTTAAAATATTGTTGTATAATGTGTTAAGGTTGAGCAGCGCAGGGAGGTCCCAAGTGCAGACAGACGATTGTTTAACAGCAAAAAAAACTTTATTCAAGGCAACAGGATCAACAAAAAACCGGACAGGAACTCTATCTCCCTCTAAGCACAAAAAGGAACCCACAAAACCCCAACAGAAAACAAGAACTTAAATACACACATGGCCAATCAAGACAAGACACAGCTGGGGAGGGGAGGGAAAACACAAAGACACAGGTGAACAGAATCAGGTAATCACACAGGAGGGAAAACACAGACAGGAAACAAATACACACATGACAGACAGGGGGTGTTTCTCAATCGCGAGTAAAGCTGCTTCAGAGCCACTATTTCAAGCATACTACGTCATCGAGTGCCGCCGAAGTACTGTTCCAATCTCCAGTATACTTGGAAATCTACCGAGCCCGGCGTACTCCGTTTGGAGAAATATCGAGTGTGCACATGAGTAGACTTCGCGGTCTTAAAATCCCCACAATGCTTTGCGCACGGACCAATTTCCCCAAATCTGTGGCGGAAGATGTAAGGCGGGGCCTCTCATATGACGCACACCTGCACACTTGCTAGCGTGTTCCTCTCTTTGTTTTCCGAATGTCAGGAAGTATTCTTGACTCGCTTCTGTGCTACCAAGACATGTGCTACCAAGCAAGCGTACTCGCGATTGAGAAACACCCAGGGGGTGAACATCCTTGAATGAAAAACAGGAAGCCGACAGTCCTTGACAATTCCAAAATAAAACATAAAATAAACAGATCCTAACATAATGACCTGTTTTAATGAGATACAAGCTGTTTTTGTGACCTTTTCCTCGAGTAATAAACATCAGATGGATATTGAAATAGTAGCACATACAGTATACTGTGTAGGTAATGTGTCTTTCTCACCTTTTGTTACAGTAAGCTGTTGGAGTCAAAGTGTTGTTTTGTAGCTGAAGGCCATGTTTACACTGTGTGTTTGCTAAAAGTAAAGAAATACTGGAGCTTCTATACTGTTGAATTTGACAAACAGTAACTCATATGACGGCTAATTTAATGCCAACATTGTTGCATTGATAGCACGCTTTGGATAGCAGTCATCCTTTGCCTATATGCATACAAAAGAAAAGAGAAAGTCATGTTAAACTCTCATGGGGCACTAAAACTGTCCACTTAAACCGTCAAATTCCTGTAACTAAAATTATTAATAGGAAAGCACGTTTTTTTAGTTTGAACATTTCCGTTTTACATTTCTTACATTCTTGAAATACGGGAGGCACAATATCTTTTTTTAAATAACTGGTCATATTTGATCATATTTATGTAATTCAAAAAAAAGGATTTATATGATAAAGGTACTGATTAGCAAAACAATGATCTATTGTACATTAAAAAGACTAAGGACGTCTTTCTCCTCTGATCAGCTCTGAAGTGTCCAGGCAGTGCCAGAAGGAGGCGCTCTGCTGAAAAGCTGCAGCGTAAAGCCCAGCTGGGTGAGTAAAAAGATTAAAATAACTGCATTAATTGTCTGATTATGGAAAAAAGAAATTCAAAATGACTAGCTAATATTTTATTATTTTTGGGGTTTTAGCAAAACGTTGCCTTTTGACTCATCCAGCACAAAGAAACATTCAATCCAGTTTGAGTTGTTGCACAGCTTGGTTGGTCAAATAGGACATTCAGCAGTCTGCTCTTTTCCGCTAGCTGTCTGCTGCTAAGGACGCTCTTATCAGTGTGTGTTTACTTTTCGTTGTGTGATTTACCTGTATATAGACTTCTAGCAAAATGTTTTACTTTGTATTTTGTATTTTTGTATTGTATTATATATTTTGCATTGTTGGAGGAGCTTAGGTCAGAATAATTTCATTGCCATTTCTACACTGTAGCTATGTGCATATGACAATAAAACCTTTGAAACTTATTGAGAGACCACTTGCCGTCATATCCATCTGCAGAAGTAGTCTGGTCATTTAAACAATTTTTCAATTAGAAAACACCCTGGAATACTGGTTATTTTTATATTTGCGGGATGCACGAAACGGGTAGCAGAAGAAAACCGACAGGAGGTAAACAAAAAAGTGACCACAGTTAGGGTAGTCAATACAATCTTTTGCGTATGAATTCTGCTCACCCTGTCTGTGTTATTTTCCCATTAATGACCGACTCCCTGCACATCTTCCCTTTCCTGGTTTTTGGTGCTGGGACAGTACTGTATAGAAAGTGAGGAAAAGCAAATCCTACATTAACACAGTGTAAAAACAAAACTAGGCAACCACTGATGAGCAAAAATATAATTTGGTCAGAAACCCATCAGACGTTTTCTTTTAAGCAATTATTCAAATGAAAAATAGAAGTAGAAGTACAGATACTTGTGTTTAAAAATAGTCTGGTAAAAGTAGAAGTACTGACTAAACTTCTTTACTCAAGTGAAAGTAAAGAATATGGGCTTCGAAATGTACTTAAGTAAAAAGTACCCATAACTACCAGCTGTTTTAAAGAGTACCTGACCTCTCTTTATATTAATAGAACAATAATGTCATTGTTAGCTAATGAATGTTTCGATGCTGAACAACGGCAACATGACAACGTTTTCACAGAAGAGCAGGAAATGATGGATACACGGATTGTGTTCAAATCAATAGGCACGCAATGACTCTAAATAATAATGATCACACCACCAAACACACATTCAAACTAAAGTAACCAGCCTGTTTTGAAAATGTAAGATGTAGAAAGTACAGGTATTTGTGTTCAAAATGTAAGAAGTAAAAGTAAGAAGTAGTGGAGTAAACTACTGATACCAGAAACATTTACTTATGTACAGTAACGAAATATTTGTACTCCACTATTTCCCACCTCCGGCACTGATGACTGTGTTCTGCCCCCCCGCAGAGAGTCATTACAAAGAGAATCTGCAGCGCCGCTGCTGTAAGGACGGCCTCAGGGAGATCCCCATGCCGTACTCCTGCACACGGCGCTCCCTCTACATCACCGAGGGCTGGGAGTGCATGAACGCTTTCCGCTACTGCTGCACCACCTACAGGAACCAGGAGAATCACACAGAGATTCCCACCATCCCACCACCTTTTACAACACCTCCGCCCACCGCCACCACCCCTCAACCCATATCCACTCGTTATCCCACTTTTTTTTTGGATGGTTGGTTTGGTAAGGACTCTACCTCAACCTTTTCCCATTCTGCAGTTAGCTAGATATGTTGAGACATTTAAACATCTTTCTTTGAAATGAAGCGGTATAATGTTTTTAGGGTTGCTTTATTGTGTTAGCATGCTGACAAATGCTAATTATCACTAAACACAAAGTACAGCTGAGGCTGATGGGAATGTTTTTAGTTTTGTAGGTTTTTGGTCACAAACTAAAGTATTAGACGGATTAAGAAAGTAGCTGATGCTGTTGCTGAATGAAAAGTCAGGGATACATCAATTCATCATGGGCATCAGGCTAGTTGGTTTGAAAAGTAAATCCAATGTGGAAGTGCCTAAAACCTATATTTTCTCTAATTGCCAACAGAGTCAGATTGTATAGAAGTCTATAAGAAAATTAACTTAGCAATCATGAGTTTATGGTCTCAAGAGTTAGTTTGAGTATTCCTTACGATCTTCATTTGTAAATGATGGCTGTCCGTTATTTTGAAAGGTAAGAACACTGACTGAGGGTAATCTAACTCTACTTTAAAATAGTTCACAGCACGCCTCCTCTTCATTTGACTTTGTAGTAATCTTTGGCTTAAATCACTTTGTGTGTTTCATGAGGAAGGTTCTTACTGATCTTTTATTTCAAAGACAATTCCTAACCTTTTTCTGTGCAGGGAATTGTTGTAGTGCTTGGGTTGTGGACTTATTAACAACGTTGAGATTCATATTTTTAGAGACGTCTAATCATATATAAATGTGTTCACATAGGTCGCACTAATTTGGAACCGCACAGCGTAGATGCTATAGAACAAGAAGAGATTATTTATCCATCAAGAGAACTGACTGGGGTAATGAAGAATGTTGACCGGCCAACCCAGGCAGACAGAGACGGGTGAGTGAGATATTAGAGGTAACATCAGAGGCAGAAAAAGCTCTCTAATTTAATAATAATAATACAATAACACATAGTATTTTTATAGAGCTTTTTCAAAGACGTTTTACATTACATTACATGTAACTCAGAATACAGAACATATAAGAAAGGCTGAGCCACTTACTAAAGGTGAGGTCTTACTAAGAGGAAATATGAAGGGTATATTTCAAGGTTGTTATGTACATTTGTTATTGTGCTTTTTTCTTATCAACTTAGATTTTTTAGAACATGTTTTCAATTGTATTTACTGAGTTTCTTTGTAAATTGGGCCTATTAACACATGAATACTGTGTAATATATTTGAACATATATATTTAAGAAGTACAATATAAGACAAGCAGAAGTTTATTATACTTAAGTCATTCTACTTTTTTAATTTGCTGAGTGAGGGCCGATTCAAAATGGTTGTTGACCTGCCAACCCAGGCAGACAGAGACGGGTGAGTGAGATATTAGAGGCAGAAAAAGCTCTCTAATTTAATAATTATAATACAATAATACATGGTATACTGTATATATACTTGTTATTGGACACTTTTATCCAAAGCGACTTACATGCATTCAATAGTTTACCTGTAGGTATCTGCTAGAACACCATCACTCTTTAGTTTTGGTTTATATAAGTGCAATTCATTAATTATTGTAATGCAATAAGGTTGTTACAGGTTGAAAGCTGTTCGGGAGCAGTGTGAAAATAATGTAAAATATTGAACAAGCTATCATAGGGACGAGGTGGGGGTGGACGAGGAGGGGGCGGACGAGGAGGAAGAGCGGGAGTATCTGGATGAGACTCAAGTTAGTCTACGATCCAAGTTCTACGAGTCTTGGCTGTGGATGGATGTTGACCTGCCAACCCAGGCAGACAGAGACGGGTGAGTGAAATATTAGAGATAACATCAGAGGCAGAAAAAGCTCTCTAATTCAATAATTATAATACAATAACACATGGTAATGCAATTTATTAATTATTGTACTGCAATAAGGTTGTTAGGGGAGCAGTGTGAAAATAACCTAAAATAGTGAACAAGCTATCATCATAAGGGACGTTGTTAAAATGATAATGCTAGTTTCTAAATTAAAACAGCATTTAACCTTTCATTCAATTAAAATGCTGTCTGACGATTTCATTTTCACTTGAACTGTGGCTTGAACCAATTAAAAATGGTGCTTCATTCTTTATATTATATTTTTATTTTGATTTATAATTGAAAAGCTGTCCATTATACATCACGTTGTTTGAAAATGTGCTAGAAAATTGCACATTTTTCTATATATAACTTGAATGAATAGGACAAATGTAGTCTATTGTTTATTAAGCATTTTACTTTCCATAGGATGCCCGTCCGAGTATGTGCAGATGATACTCTTTCCCTCTCACTTTAAAGTTTATATCAACCTTTTAATTAAGTCCCCATAGATAAATGCAAGTAATATAGTATAAACCTCACTTCTTGAACCCTCCAATCTAAAAAATAGATCTTACTAAGAATGTTAAACAGACATTCGTGTTGGTACCAAATGCAGATTCTGTATGTGTGCAATGTCAACCGAGTCTCATGGCATTTCGTGTTATAGTCACGAAATGTAATCTATTGATTCGTGTTCACCAACAGGATTTTCTCATTTTTTTCGTGTCACAGAGAACGATTTTAAAAGCAATAATAACAAATTAGAAGGAAAGAAATATTTAAAAATACAGATTTCAGTATTCTGAGGCTCTTTGCCCCATTTATTTTCCTCGCGGATGGCAAAAAAAGTCAAAATTATACAATTTAAAATAAAAACAATAATCGTGGCTTGCTATTGAGTAAGAAAATGTTTTTATGAACCACACAGCTTCCGGTCTTCCAAGACCCGACCGGACAAAAAGACGTGGTGCAGGCACGAAACATACTACCAATAGAAATACATTGCTTTTAAAAGCGCCCTGTGTGACACGAAAAAAATGAGAAAATCGTGTTGGTGAACACGAATCAATAGATCACATTTACCTTGTGACTATAACACGAAATGCCGTGAGACTGGGTTGACAATGTCCTTCTTTGCACTGTGAAAAACATCAGCTAAACCTCATGAAACTGGTGTATGTTGAAGGGTAAAAAATCTTATATCTGTGGTTTTGAACACATTAATCTGATCAACAGGATGGCGTCTGTGAACGTTGACCACCCTTTACCTGACAGCATCACAGAATGGGGGGTTCTGGCCGTAAGCGCCTCACCTCACACAGGTATGAGAGGCAGGGGGCTGAGATGGTAGTCACAATGTGGCTCTTACTTTTTTTGTGACATTTAACAACACCTGCCATTCTATCTTCATCCATATCTCTATATATATATATTCTCAATAATCTATTAAGCAACCTGTGACACTCATTTGTTTCACTTTATCGGAAAAAGCTGACAACTTTCATTGATTTAATAGTTGCATTACTTTATGTGTGAATCCTAACAAGTCTAATTCTTAACAGTAATATAAAGCAAAGGTTGAACAAATATTCTCATTCTGCAAAAAACATCCTGACTAAAAGTTGAATCTCTAAACTCAAATGATGAAGAAAAATGCTACAAATATATTCATACATTTTCAGAATCCCTGATGTTTTTCTGAATGTCCGCAGGTTTCTGTGTAGCTGAGCCTTACAACGTCAAAGCATGGAAACGTTTCTTCGTTGATCTGAAGCTGCCGTATTCAGTGGCGAGGAATGAGCAGGTCGAGATCAAGGCTGTGGTCCATAACTACGGCTACGACGAACTGCATGTAAGAAAATCACCACAAAACTATACTAATGGATGCAAATATGCAACATGAGTAGCCTGATAAATAAAAACTAAAATCTCTAAAACTGAAAAATATATATTATGTGAGGCTTTAGGCTAAATGCTAATTCTAGCATTGTAGTTAAACATTTTTAGCAGCTAATAATTGCTCCTTATTTTGTATTTGAAACTGAGGCTGATAGGAATCAGTATTGCAGGTATTTACTTGTCATTTACCCAAAAGTTACCCAAAAATTTCCCTTACCATAGAACCACGAAAGTGGCTCTTATGGTGTCTAAAGAGGAAAGGTCAGGGGATCACCAATAAAACCCTTGCTTCAAAAAACGCTTGGTGTCCACTCAAACTTAATTCAATAAAATAAGTAAAATATCTTGTATATAGACTCTCCTTGCTTTATTTTATTTGTATTACTTTCACTATTTTATCTATTTGTATCTGTGTTATTGTGTTGCACTGTTGGAGGAGCCTGTGACCTAATATTTTAATTCACATAACTACACTGTAGCTATGTACACATGACTACCCTGTAGCTATGTACACATGACTACCCTGTAGCTATGTACACATGACAATAAAGCCTTGAACCTTGAACCTAAGTCTTGATTGAATAAATCTTATGAATGGTTCTGTTTAGGTGAGGGTGGTTCTGATGAAGACAGAGGGCATGTGTAGCATTGCCTTTAAAGACAGACACACACAGGAAGTGATGCTGGCGGCCGGCGCTTCTGTTGCGTTGCCTTACACCATCGTACCGCTGGTGGTGGGGAAACTCCCTCTGGAGGTGATGGTGGTAGCCAGAGGCGCAATGGGAGGAGACCGCATCCAGAAGCTTCTAAATGTGGTGGTGAGGAGATCTTGATGATGAAGATGGGATGGCAGTTTAATCACGGTGTTAACAGGAAGCCAGGAAGTTTTTTCTAAAACTGTTTCCTTTTCCGAAACAGATGGATGGAGTCCAGAAGACTGAAGTTTGGAGTGCGGTGTTGAACCCGTCGGCTGAGGGAGGTAAGGAGATTGCAGCGATGCATCATACATTTTCAACCGCATGTTGAATGAGACTTCATGTTTCCACCATGCTTTCTCAAAATGAGTTGATTCATTCTCTAGTGTTTTGTTGTTGGCCGAGTGACAAATTATAACCTTTTCCCTTCATCCATTTACTTATTGTTTTTAACAGCATTTTTCCTATTTTTTATTTGTTGGCATCAAGTTTAAACTGTCAGGGTTTGGGGTAAGGCAGGACCCAAATGCAGTAATAAGGAGAAGGGTTCAAAGTAGTGATGGCAGTTTGACACTGAAGCTTCGAACGGAGCTTCAACCCTGGACTTCCTATTCCATAGAAGCAGTGATTCGAAGCTTGCTTCAAATCACGTGACATATGACGTCCGAACCAGCAACTGCTTCAAATCACGTGACATATGACGTCCGAAGCACCAACTGCTTAATTTCCTGAATGAATCACTTGACTGGTTTGCGGTCCAATCACGCGATTCAATGCACTGCCTCGTCTCTATTCTGACAGGTGACAGGTTGAAACAGTTTCGAATTTGAGCGCTTCAACACTTTATAACCGCTCTAAACAATGAGCAATGTGTGGGTTGTTGTCGTAGTTTGCGTTGTTGCTGTTGAGTTGTTGTTGGTATTGCATTTTAATTGGATCATTATAGAGCAAGCCAGGAAGAAAGATAGGTCGTTCTGGCTCGGAGAACACTTCGAAATGTGGAGAACTTGTGAACAAAAAGACACTTAACACTAATATGAAAACCATGTTACTAACTTAAGGTATAGATAGCCCAGTGGATAGAGCCGGCGGCCCGAAGCGACGATGTCCTCCGCCCAGCTGGTTCAAAGCCCGGAACAGATGAACTTTTAATCATTCCTTTTCAACTTTAATACTTTATTAACTGATAAAAGGCCCTCTCCGCCCAAACAAAATTCCAGCACTCTCTAGTCTCTTCTCAATAACCCAATACGCACAATTATCAATCTTTAATTGCAAATAGAACATGATATTCAGTCTTGTGTGTGTGTACATCGAATATTTTTCAAGGCAAAGATACGTTAAACCCACTGCAGCCTTGCACTTCGCCAGGAGAGGTCGCTGTAACTGAAGCTTCGAGAAATTAACCTATTTCCGACACAATTGTCCAAGTGGTTCGATGCTTCATTCAAAGCTTCATTTTGCCATCACTAGTTCAAAGTATAACTAAAAGTGAGCTTTATTAAACAAAAGCTGATGCAAAGAAAAACAAGAAACAACTAAACATTAACAAGACCGGGGAACAAGACAGACATGAACAACCTTACTAGCATGGTACAGACAGGTAACCAGGACAAAAAGACGACGACCGTACATGGAGCAAAGGGCAAGACAAGACTAAATACACAGAAGGGTAATCACAGGACAAGACACAGCTGGGCAGGGGAGGCAGAAACAAAAGGGCAACAGGTGAACACAATCAGACAATCAGGAGCAGGAGGGAAGCTAAAGACAGGAAGGCAAACACAGGAACCAAACAAGACACAAGGAGGAAAACATTTCAAAATAAAAGGTGGAAAATGGCAACATAAATCCAAAACCATGACATAAACTAGTGGACGTGTTCTTTCAGAAATAAAACTAAAAGACCTAACCTGAAATGATATAATTAACCACATATTGGTGTCTTCATGATGTAAGGAGTGGACCTCTTTAGGTTCTGGTTTTAAATCATGGGGTGTTAAATGTTTCTCTCTGTTTCTGTCCACTTCAGGAACTCAGACGGTTAGTGTGGCCAGGGTCAACCTGGACTCAGTTGTGCCAAACTCTGTACCAGAGATGTTCATCAATGTGAGAGGTAAGTCAATGTGAGAGAGGGGATTAAGCTCAAGAAATGAACCTATAATTCTCCCATTCCTGACTCCTCTTCTCCCCTCCAGGTAATGTGTTGGCAGACAGCATTGATAACTCCATCAGCGAGGACTCTCTGGCCTCCCTGATCAGGATGCCCGGCGGCTGTGTGGAGCAGAACTTGGCCAGCATCACTCTGCCACTCATCGCCACCCTCTACCTAGAGACCACCGACAGCTGGGAGAGTGTCGGCGTGCAGCGCAAAGCTGAGGCTCTCCGCTACATCAGGAGAGGTGAGAGAGAGGGAAGGAAACACGTGGAGGAATGAGAGATGGATGAATCCAGAAAAGTAAAATTGATGATTGATGGCAATGTAGATGCCATGGATATAGATAGATCATGTTGTGGATGGATGGGTGGATGGATGAATGGATGAATGAATGAATGGATGGATGGATGGGTGGATGGATATCTGAGTAAATGAATGGCGAGTCAGCTATAGAAAATCAGGATGGTTGATGGATAAACTGCAGCATTTGTGGACAGATCGATAGCTAGTTAGCTAGATGTATGATTGATGATTTTAGAACATGCTTTGTTTTGACCACTATCCTTCACATCACATCTTTAATTTCTTCCATGTTGTTTCCAGGCTATGAGACCCAGCTGGCGTACAGAAAGAGTGACGGTTCTTATCCCCCCTACATGAGGGAAGGCGCAAGTACATGGTACTCTCAAGATTTTACATTTTACATATTTACTTCAAACTCTTAACACATGAGCTGATTTCAAAGAAAATGCACTTCTCTGTGGACTGACCTGCATACGATATTTAGAGATCTATAAAATATGAAATGTTCTTGTAGCTTCATCCATTAAATACTGTTGGGAAGATTAAAAACGTGGGTTTAACCTGTTACGCACGGCCCCCCCCGGTACCGGGCGCTTAAACGCGTCATTTGCAGGAAACAACGTCTAAGGAATCTTAATATTTAATAAAACTATGAATGTTTTATATCCATGTAACGGGAAGAAACTCAGCTAACTGATCTTTTTAATTTTTCTTTCCAAAAAAACCCCACAATGCTAACACTCATTCTCTGAATTACCCACGAGCGAAAACATTTAACCTAAAACGGCACTTAAACTCACTCTAACTCCCTTATTACTTATCCTAGATGCACAGCCAACCACTCGTTTTTGGTGTCCTGGAGACACTGAATCTAGTGGTGCCCTCCGCAACACTCAGTGATAAACATTTGCGACGCTATAAACGAAAGCGTACATCATAACATGTGGAGCTAAGTAGCTAGAAACGCTAACATGGCTTACCTTGGTCAAAACTGGTCTTCAATGGCATTAAAACGATAAAAAAAACGATGCTGCAGTTAATCCATAGGTTCATCCAATGTATCTGTGCCCTCTTTGAAATTATTTCTGATAATTCATAAGCAATAAAACTGCTTTTTAGTTTCCAAATCCCAGAGGGAGAGATCGCTCCACTCTAACCTAGATTTACATGCGCGCAGCCCCCACCTTTTCTCTTTACAATGAGTGTGTATGTGGGCCTCCCCCTTCGATTCTATTGGCTCTAACGGTCAGAAAGGTGTGTCAACCATCAAAATCGAGCAAGGGGGGCCAGAGATATAGAAAAAAAACCATTTTCACCCAAATCACCTCAGAGGTGGGGTGGTTTTGGCTAAATCTCACTAAAAAGGTCAAATGTCACTTGTTTTGCATCAATCTTGATACAGGGTACTTATTATATGTTGTACTTTGGATTCCTAAAGCTTTTAGTCTACTAACCCATCATCCAGGGGTAGTTTTCACTATCTGTAAAAAATAATCTTTGGACGGACACTATAATTTACAGTTTTTTACTATGTAAAATCTGAATTTTCTTTAAAATAAAAAACATTTATATTGATTCTGACACTTCTACATCCAACTCACAGATGTAACCTTGCTTTGATAAAAGAAATTATTCATATAACCCTTTTAGAAGTTAAGTTGTAGTCATTTGTTTTGGGCATGTCATTTTTGAGCCTGAAACATGAAAAACAGGCTAGGTGCTTAACAGGTTAAAAGTGACCAAATGAAGGCTAATCACTATCCACCTGACTTTCAGGATCACAGCGTACGTGGTGAAAGTGTTCTCCATGGCTCCCTCCATCGTTGGAATCAACGAGCAGCAAGTGTGCGAGCCCCTGCTCTTCCTGGTCAACAACAAACACAAGATGTCTAGGGGGAACTTCGTAGAGGACAACCCAGTTTACAGCACCACCATGACAGTAAGACACACTTAAAAATACACCATGGCCCAATTCCAAACTGACCCATACACCCTACTTCCACATCATTTGCGACAAAATATTTTTGCGGTTTTATTCCTCCTTTTTGTCCAAGAGATGCTGATTCAAAACCATGGTCAATAACTTTTACAACAGTCCTCTTTCTGCTGGATGGAGGGGAGTTTGTCCCAAAGCTTGCTGCTATATGCCCTACACCTTAGAGAAGAAGCCTCATTCAGCTGTGTGTGTGATTACAGACAAAGTCGGAGTGTGTAGGGGTCGGTTTGGAATTGGTACTCCGTCATCCTTTTGATAATTGATGTAATCTCTATCCACAGGTTTTCTTTCTTATCTCCCTCCTCGTTGTCCTTTTGTCTTGTAACCTTTCAATTCATTAAAGTGAATGATTATCAGAACAAGACACACCTCCTACCAAATAGATTAACAATCAAAACGTACAGTATCTAGGTTCTCTATTTATTGTATTCTATTACTCTTTCTCCAGGGCGGTCTTCGTGGAGATGACCCTGAGACGACCCTGACCGCCTTCGTCCTGATAGCACTCGCCGAGGCCAAGCATGCCGGGATCAGCTGCGTTAGTCCAAGCGTAAAGGTAATTCACACAGAAACATTACTGCAGAGTTGGTTCCCTGTTGTCTGTTTCCTGTGGAGCTCTTACAAATATGTACCACCATGTCTGTCTGCTGTAGGTAGTTATCAGTAAGAACAGCTGAATGCCTGAAGAGAGCGCTGGTGACGACGGGCAGGAGGCCCTACACTGTGGCCATCGCCTCCTACGCACTGGCTCTGCTGGGGAAAGATCAAAACTACAACCCGACACAATCTTTACTCAGTGCTGCAGCTCCAGGTAGCTCATACACTCACACATGTTACATTTGTACAGTACGGATAATGTTACCTTTTGTCATTATCTGTCTTTGTGTGTCCTGTTCAAGTTCTCTCTCTCCGAGTGACATGTCTGTTTTTATGTTGTGTCTTTGTGTGTTCCCACTATTTGTGATTGTCTGACCTGCACTGATCCTATCCACCTGTGTCTAATCACCTGATGCCCTTTTCTTTTTGCCTACCCTCTCCAGCTGTGTCTTTTCAGTTTATTAAGTCCTTTTTGTATATGCTTGAATGCAAACTCTGCTTGCTATTCCCCCCTGTCGCTCCCTTTGTTTCCATGTGTTCCCTCTGTGTAAAGAGACTCTGAAAGTTTCAGGAAAAAAGATTCTCTCACTTTTTGTCCTGATCCATTTATATAAAAACCTGAAAATGACCTGATCAGATTTTGGCCACTTTATGATGTCATAACGATGTTTTGGCTTGTGTAACCATTAGCCAATCACCAATCAAGGTAACCCCCCCCCCCCCCACCCCCTTATCACCTGAATCTCCTCCTAGAGCTCCATTGAGTTATTTTTAACCAAATATCTCTCAGAGGGGCGTGGGGAGGGGCTCCTTATTTTCATCTAAAGTAACAGACAGAGAATCAGCACTTTGGAAACAGGGCTGAAACAGAGGGGATTATGGGATGCTGCAATGATCTGTTTGGTATTTGGAGCCAAACACTTCAGAGACATGTTTGTATATATCTGAGACCTATAATACATTGATGAAAAACAGTATAATAGGGGACCTTTAAAGCTAAGCTAAAGTGCTTCTGAACTGAACTCTTCACTGTGTCCTGTCTCCTGCAGGTGGCAGCCACTGGCCCGACAGTAAGAACACCTTGTTCACCTTGGAGGGGACCGGCTACGCCCTGCTGGCTCTGGTCAAGTTGGGACGCATGGAGGAAGCTGCAGCGCCGTTTAAATGGTTGAACAGCCAGCGGAGGAGAGGGGGGGGCTTCGGCTCCACTCAGGTAACAGCCGGTAGAGTTTGGTGTGATCTGCAAATCCAATTTCTTGTTCCGCTTAATTCACCTGGTCAGGTCTTTGATAACTGCATCCACTTTATTTTGCCTTGCTCATTCATATCAAAGTCAACTTTATTGTGAATCTTTCAGTTTGTGTGTACAGACAGAGAGATCAAAATACCGTTTCCCACAATCCCGAATACAATAACAAAGATATATAAAAAATATATAGGCCTACCTATATACACAATCAACAGACACATTTATACATATGCACACATTTAAGACATAAATAAAACCACAACGATCAATATATACAAAATAACAGTCACTTCAATAACTTTAATATCCATTGAGAAATAAGGGAAACACCTCTCTGGATAATGCTAAATACGCCAACAGCAACATAAAATAGAGCAATCAGTGTTTGATTTTAGACTTCACTCTGCTTGCTGAATAATATGATTGCCATTTTTGTATGAGGTATCTTAAAGTAAATATATATCTAAAAAATGAAATTAAGTGACCAACACTTATTGGCTTTGGGTTTCTTACTCACTGAAATATCCAACACTAATCATTACAAAATAATGTTGACATTGCGAAAATTCTCATTATCAATGTTAGAAGATGTTGTTACTCAAAATGTGGGAAATGTGTCCAATGAAATTCTTGAATCTCTCTTCTCTATCCTCTCCCAGTCCACCATGGTGGTGCTTCAGGCTCTGTCAGAGTACCTGATCCACAAACCTCCTCCTGCTGATCTCAGTCTGGACGTGGACGTCAGGTTAAGAGGACGCAAGGAAATCCGTTACCATTTCAGCCCCGAGAATTCCTACGCTGCTCGCTCCTCCAGGGTGAGAGACATGAAACTACATGTTAAACCAGGAAGGTTCATCAGTAGAGACACTGAGTGTATCAGGGTGTTTCTCTGTTGATGTTTAACACGGCTCACAGTTCACTTTAACCTCATCAAACTATGGGTGCACCTGTGCCAAAAACAACAACAGATCTATTTTTCATGAACTTCAAATGTCTTCTTCTGTGCTCTTTTCCGTAGCTGCCTGCTGGTCTGGATTTGGAAGTGGAGGCTCGAGGGAATGGACAGGGAATACTGGAGGTATGATCACATTTTATGATTTTATTTTAAACATAAAGTCCCATATGTATAATCAATAATAATAATAATAAAACATTTAAATTCTAAGCGCTTTTTCAGGTGCTCAAAGACACTTTACAGTGGTGATAAAAAGGAATACAATAAAATAAAAACATTAAAACAGCAACACAATGAATGTAATCATTGGTACAATCACATGGCCAAAACTGTAGATAAGGATTGGTATAATTTAGATTTCATTACATGATGAAACCCATACAATACAGAAATACAGAAGGATTTACTTTCAAATTCTCCTTTTTTTTCTTTTTCCATTTTGAATTATTTTAATGATTTTGTTTTCCTTGTGTTTCTCCAGGTTGTGACTTATTACAACCAGCTGCATGAGGTCGATGAGAAAATGCCCTGCAAAGACTTTGAGCTCAAAGTCAACATAGAAGAATCCAGCGGTAACTCAATATATTTTCAATACAATAAAACAACATACCCAAATGCAGTATATTGTCATGTACACATAAATCCACTACTAGGCAACCCAACCTCAGACCATTAAATGTTTTGTTTATATCCTGTACCAGAAAAACCTCCAGCAGATGTAGAGAAGTCCTACCAGATCACCATCAAAGTGAGGTGAGTTTTTGTTAACGTCTTAACCTTTTCTCACCTTTGCTCAAATTAAACAAGTTCAACAAAACTACTTAATTACCCTTTGATTGGTTTGTTTCTCCCCCACAGGGCTTTAGGACCTAGAGATGTCCGGATGGTGGTTCTGGATATCAGTCTGCCCACCGGCTTCACTCCAGAAAACTCCGACCTGGAGATGGTAATCGGCCTTCAGATCATCCAGTTTAAAGTGTTGAGTGTATTTCCAAATATGAAACATTCATAGAAAAATGCAATAGGAAAGTTAAAGCCAAAAGAGATGCTTTATACATTCAATGCAGAGTTTTTTGCTTTTATCTTGGAAAAACATGAAGTGATGTTTCTGACATAAATAGTAATCTCCCATGTTCACAAGAATGTTAAATGTTTGTTACTGGTAAGTTACTGTTGGGTTTATTGACATGTCTTAACTTACAGATAACAGAGGATATATTTTAAGGTGAAATATGTCACTTGATTGTGTTTCAGAGCTAAATCTCAATCAATCCCTTTAAGATAATACGTGATAATATGAGAGGCCTGGTTTTCTAACTCTAACTCTGTGTATATGTGTGTGTTTGTTAATACAGTTGTCAAACTCCGTGGACCATTACATCAATGACTTCAAGTTCGTTGATAACCTGAGTGACAGAGGCTCTCTGATCATCCACCTGTTCAAGGTTTGTTTGCAAAGAGAGGGAGTTTGTGCACATTGAAAGCTGTCCTTCGATAAAGCAGGTAACTGAATCTTCTGGATAATTTTGCTTAGTTAAACCCAGAAGAAGTCGTTTATACAGAACTTTGAATTTGAGGAAATTCAATATTTTACACAGCACAAAAAAACCTTCTCTCTTTAATGTCAATTTGTATGTGCCCTTTCTTAGAAGTAGGTTTACAGAGTTATCTGGATAACTTTGCCAATCAAAACCCAAAGCAAGTTATTTTTAGAACTGTACACAGATCTGTTATATCAAAAAGCCAGTAAAGCAACTCTTTGGAGCTTAAGCTTGCTAACTTGTCTGTAATGGTTGTTTATCTTCTCTGTTGCACTAAATGATCTTCCTCCTCTCTCCTCGTGTCAGGTGTCTCACAAAGAGCCAGAGATCCTGATCTTCAGGCTGCAGCAGAGGTTCAAAGTGGGCCTCCTGCAGCCGTCCTCAGTCACCGTCTATGAGTATTACAACCCAGGTAACATCCTGACCAGCACAGATTACATCTAACTACTGCAGAACTCAGAATACATCCTCTGTTCTTTCAGACATCCATTTTATAAGATTTTCGAATCTATAAAGTTATTGCACATTTTGGAATGTAAAATAAACACAATATGTGCCTGTGAAACTTAGTGAGGCACCATAAAACGTAGAAAACTCACGTTAAGTACAAATACAATACTTGAATAGATGTAGTTACTTTCATCATCTTGTCAAGATCCAATGCATGTGACAAGTTTTAGACCAAACAAAAGGCCACATATTGACTATTTAGACAATGCTCAGTTTATTCATTTTAAATGATATATTAAAAGTGAATATTGCATCTCTCAGTTTGATGCTGACAGGCTGTGTCTCTACTCTCTGTCAGATCACCGCTGCACTCACACCTACACCCCCAGGGAGGACCGAGAGGAGCTCACTCAGATCTGCAAAGACAACGTCTGCCGCTGCACGCAGGGTGAAGTGTGCACGAGTCTGCAACACAGCGTCAGATCCTTTGTGTGTTCATGGTGTGTGTTAAAACAATTCCCTGTTTAAGTTTCCATTTGCTCATAATCTCCAGGTGACTGCTGCGTCCCAAAGAGCGAAAGTGAAAGATTTCTGAACAAAGAAAGAGAGACGTTTGCCTGCACGACTCTACACCACGGTGAGATACACTGTCACACCTTTGCAACTTTGACACACACACATACACACACACACACACACACACACACACACACACACACACACACACACACACACACACACACACACACACACACACACACACACACACACACACACACACACACACACACACACACACAAATGCACACAGCTGAGGTTAACACCGGTCACAACAAGTCTTCATTGTGTTATAACCAGTCAAAAGCTTTTACAATACTCCAATTTGAGTGGCAGAAACCTTGCCAATATATATTTGTATTTATTGAAAGACTGCTGCATTAAACCTCACAATTAAATGATCACCATAGGCTATCTATGGCTTCTTAAAACCGTTATTACTTCACCTATAATATGTTGTGTGAATCCTCAATATCCTGTCTTGATTGATAACAGTAACTTAAATTGTAGAATATGTTTTACAAAATACAGTGAAAAAGGATCAATAGTAATCTTCAATGTTATACAAAAACTGCTAATAGCTCTTGAGTAGTTGAAGGCTAAATCCAGTACATCTACAGATCAAAAATAATATAAAATGAAAGGATTGAATCTGTCAAGCCACGCATTTGTAGTAATTATTTTTTGGCTGGTAGAATTTGTTGCAGAATTTATAATAGGGTTTGAAAATATAGACATTCCCTTTTTACTTTTTTCTTATTAGGATGCGCTATTTTTTGTAGACATGACAGTTTTGACCCCACCAAACATTATTACTAATCCTCTCTTAACCATGAAAATAACCAACAAGAAATGACACCTGTTTTCTTGTGCTTCAGTTTTCCAGGTGAAGGTGCTGAGTGTGACTCAGAGTTACTACGACAAATACGAGATGGAGATCACACAAGTTATCAAGCTGGGTGAGTCTGTGGTTTATGGTTAACAGGTTTTTATGTCAAATTAAGGTATTGTAAGAACATAATTGCCCCAGTACAAGATATCTACCAAGTAAAATACTTTAATGGAATACTTCACCTACAAAACACATTTGTATATCAATCACTCACCCTTAGTTACTTTGAATTCTTGAAAATAACCAGAGAACAGTCTGAATGTTTTAAAATAAATGGGGGATGTGTCAGCAACAGCAAAACTGTATAAAAAAACGTTACCATCTCTGACATAAATCAAGCTGTATGAACAAATTCTCATTTATATTCTCACTACTTACCGTACATGTGCATTTTCATATATTAAATCCAACAAAACGTTTCTTCCAATACCATTTTTCAATTGTTTGTTGGCATTGAAATGTTATTTTCTGCTGTATTCCAACATTCAGAGGAGAATTCCCATTGGCTTTTTTGTCAAAGGAAAGATTGATAGCTTCGGGGTCGGCCTAAAAAATACATCATCACTCCACCTCTCTATAATGCCTCTGTACATAAACTGAACCTCTTCCTGCTTCCCTCCAGGTGTGGAGTCTGGAGTTGAGGTGGGTCAGAAGAGGGTCTTCATGTCTCACGGAGGCTGCAGAGATGACCTGAACCTGCAGCAGGGCTCCCAGTACCTCGTCATGGGGCCCAAAGAGGACCAGTGGAACATCGACACTGACACCAACAGGTGAGAAAAACATTAAATACACCTGTTGCATAAAATATGTGTAGCTACTCAACTTCTAATAAAGGAAGTTACTAAGAGTGTAAGTGTGTCTCATCACTCTGACACGTTAAGTCCAGTTCTGTGATGTTTAGGATCGGAAATGATTTTAATGATAGGAAAACCTGCCTTTCATTATTCAGGCAGAAGACTATACACCAACAATGATACACATGAGCACATACTACAGTTTAAAAAAGCAGAAATAAAATCTGATCTGACAGAAAATGCTCCGTTTTAATTCAGTTTTATTTTGTCGACACTGACAGCAACAGGTGAGCAGCAAAAGGATAAATCGACTTGATACGTAAAATATGCTGAGTGAAGAATTGTTGATTCTAGGAGTTGAAGTTTACTTATGATACAACAGAGGGTTGGAGGTTCTCACTGTACATATTTGAGTTTTTAGAAAAATATAATAAAGCAGTCATATATGGCTAATGTATCTTAAAGGGGACCTATCATGCAAAATGCACTTTTGTACGTCTTTTATACATGAATATGTGTCCCCGGTGGAACTCACCAAGTGTCAGAAAACACAACCCTCTCTATTTTCCTCCATACCCAAATCTCTAAAAAAGGGGCTGCAACGGATCTGATAAAAACTGATCCAGATTTGAACACTGTCCTGACGTCAGGACGGTGGCGCTACGGCTATTGGGCCAACTCCACCAATCAGGAGGAGACAGCCACGGCCATTGCCGTTCGAAAGCGCTGGAGAGGCTGTAGTACATATGCCAGGCCTCTAGATGGTGCTGTTGCTCACAGAATCAACCCTTGCAAAAACAGAGCTAACATTTTTCAAATTGAGCGAAATGAGGCATGGCTAAAATGCATGATCTGTTTGGTATTTTGAAAAAAAAAAAGTATAAATATGCCTTATATAGGTATGGTCCTACACTATATTATTATAATATAGCATGATAGGTCCACTTTAATTTGCTATCATGAAAACTGTATAAAAGAAGTACAAGAGTCATGCTTGCAGAAAACTGTAGGCTCTTCTATAGAACTTAACATTATACCGGTATGCCAACATATTAAAAGTCATGCCATCCTGAAAATCTAACTCAATTAATTAACAGGTAAATCTACTGGCAGCCATGTTTGTTTGCCCATATAAGGGGTAGAGAGAAAACTTCCTTCCTAAAGACAAACTTTCTAAATGGTGTCTTGATTTTCATTTCCCATACAATCCATCAAGTTTTAAGTTATTTATTAAAACAATTACAGAGAGGCAATTAACATTTTAGATGTGGATCTTTTTTCAACAATGCTCAATGAAAATGTATAAAAAAGAAAATAATGCAAGTAAAACAAAATTAGATAAGAAGTCCTGAAATTAAGACGTAGGGATACATAAAAACAATGATTTAATTGTTAAACACAGTAATTGCAAATTAATTAACTCTAAGGTAAACCGTTACTATATGCTTAATCCAAATTATAAATATGTACACAGAAGTGACAACAGTTTTGAAAACAGTTTAACCTGTTTCACGCCTTCCCCCCGGTACCGGGCGGATAAACGCGTCATTTGCAGGAAACAACGTCTAAGGAATCTTAATATTGAATAAAACTATGAATGTGTTATATCCATGTAACGGGAAGAAACTCAGCTAACTGATATTTTTAATTTTTTTTTTCAAAAAAAACCCACATTGCTAGCACTCAGCCTCTGAATTAGCCTCAAGCGAAAAAAACGTAACATACTAAGGCAACTAAACTCACTCTAACTCCCTTATTACTTATCCTAGATGCACAACCAACCACTCGTTTTTGGTGTCCTGGAGACACTGAATCTAACGGTGCCCACCTCAACACTCAGTGATAAACATTCGCGACGCTATCAACGAAAGCGTACATCATCACATGTGGAGCCAAGAAGCTAAACATGTAAATATGGCTCACCTTGGTCAAAAGTGGTCTTCAATGGCATTAAAACGATAAAAAAAACGATGCTGCAGTTAATCCATAGGTTCATCCTATGTGTCTGTGCCTTCTTTGAAATTATTTCTGATAATCCATAAGCAATACAACTGCGTTTTAGTTTCCAAACTCCAGAAGGAGACATTCCTCCAGTTTAGTTTCGCTTTCCACACGCGAAGCGGCAACATTTTTTCTTTATAATGTATGTGTATGTGAGTCTCCTCCTTCGATTCTATTGGCTCTAACGGTCACAAGGGTATGTCAACCAACCAGATCGAGCAAGGGGGGCCAGAGATAGGTCAAATCCACCCAAATGACCCCAGATGGCCCAGTTTTTGGCTAAATCTCTCTAAAAAGGTCAAATTTCACTTGTTTTGCATCAATCTTGATACAGGGTACTTATTATATGTTGTACTTTGGATTCCTAAAGCTTTTAGTCTACTAACCCATCATCCAAGGGTAGTTTTCACTATCTGTAAAAAATAATTTTTGGACGGACACTATAATTTACAGTTTTTTACTATGTAAAATCTGAATGTTCTTTAAAATAAAAAACATTTATATTGATTCTGACACTTCTACATCCAACTCACAGGTTTATCATTACTTTGAGAAAAGATTATTAATTTAACCCTTTTAGAAGGGAAGATATGGTCATTTGTTCTGGGAATGTCATTTTCGAGCCTGAGACCTGAAAAACAGGCTCAGAGTGGAACAGGTTAACGAAAGTATATAATGGTAAAAGGACAGTTTAATGTGCCATTAGTGAAACTGCAGTGTAAGACACATACAAGTTATTTTGAAGAAGGGTGCAGATGCAAAATACAATCTAAACTGTGTGAACTCGTCTCCTTCCTCCCTGTCTGTCAGGTTCATCTACATGTTGGGGAAGGACACCTGGGTGGAGCGCTGGCCGACGCCTACAGAGTGCTCCAGCAGTCCTGAACTGCAAGCTAAATGCAAGACCCTCCATGATACTGCAGATAAACTCTCTGTCAACGCCTGCAGGCTGTATAGCTGTGGGAGATGCAACTGCACACCTTCACATGTGCCACTGTGAAGACAACTGTGCACGTAAAGATGCAAAGATCATTTTAGGGCTAAAGCCTGTAGAAAAGGGATTGAATAACATGTTGTTTGTGTTTCAAAATGTAAAGAATTAACTGTAGGTGCAGTTTTTGTTTGTCAACCCGTACCCATACAGTTCTTTTGTAACTGTAATGATATCATAAAAGTAAAGACTTAATACGACTAGCTGCCACAAATGAATAAAACATCACAGCTTCATTATTATAGCTTTTATTCAATGGTTCAAAGGAGTATGCCTAACATAACAAGAGCTCAAATATAAAGTACTGTTGACAAAGGTTTAAGTACAACATGATATAGCAAAACACATCGGTCTGTATACTCTTCATTTCAAATTGAAAGGTTGTCTCATGTTTTACAAGTTAACAAGTTAGTTAAATTGTTGTATTTTTGGTAAAATGGAAAGGGTGCACAAGGGTGTCTCTTATTCCCTCTGAATAATGACATGTAGAGTCGTATCTATCTACTCCGTGCTTAAACACCAATCCAGAGAACAAATAAAAGATTTAAAAAGTGTGTCCTTGCTTCTGTACATTCAATTAAATAGGCCATTTAATATACATTATGTTTCAATAAAAGGCATTAAATAAGCTACATAGTCATTGGAGCCAATGCTCAAACTCAACAACAAGCTAAAGTCATATGTTTGTCTCAGAAAGAAACATATTTCATTCATAATTAATTTCTTGAAAAGCTTTTAAGCACATTAAGCACATTAAGCACCAGCACCTCTTTTCACCCTCTGTCTGAAACCAGAGCCCAGTCTGCTCTGATTGGTTAGCTGGCAGGCTCTGTTGTGATTGGTCAACTTCTTAGAGATGTCCCGCCCCTTAGCCTGTCACGCACATTGTGTTGGAGCGCTAGCCAATAGGAGCCAGGTGTTCCATAGGGATGTCACTATTTTCCGGAACTATTTACATGCACACACACCTATAGATCACATTGCAGTGAAGGGAAAACCCCAAAAAGCAGAATAGGGTCCCTTTAATAAAGATGATGGGCTGTAGATCCCTACTGTGTCCTGGTTTTGTTGATTGTGCTGTACAATGCAGTCTGAGTCCTCCGTGGCAGACATCTGACTTCTGTTTTTCAAAGAGAAACATTTATTTAGGAGTTTTGCAGATTAGATATCGTAAAAATGGCCAAACAGTGGTTGGAAAACACGTAAAATCACATCAGGCAGATGCAAAAGTGAACAGGTGTTGATTTTATTCCAAGTAATTTCAACGTTAAACTCAGGGTAATGTTCCTGTTCCAGGTGTCGATTTAGTATTTTAATCGAATCATTTAATTGCTTTTGTTAGAGCCAGTATTTCGATTTTATTAGAAAGGCCACCTAATTGTGACGTCTGTAGTCAACGCACTAGAAAGGACTACAATTCCCATGGCGCCTGCGCTAAAGCCACAGTGATGGGCAACCTGTTGTTCACAATAACTGTGAAGACACACACCATGGACCTCCTATCCCTTTGTAAATGTGTACATTTAAAGTTCATTAAACTAGTACCTTCTATTTTTTAATCTTCTCTTTGCTGCTACAGTATGACTGCTTTCATTTCTATGTTTGTTATTGTAACTGCAGAGTGAGAAGACTGCGAAAAGTGGTCGTACTTAGTGTGTCACTCGTATTGATTAGAGACCCTGTGTGTGTGTGTGTGTGTGTGTGTGTGTGTGTGTGTGTGTGTGTGTGTGTGTGTGTGTGTGTGTGTGTGTGTGTGTGTGTGTGTGTGTGTGTGTGTGTGTGTGTGTGTGTGTGTGTGTGTGTGTTTAAAGTAGTCAACAGTCTGTCTGTGGTCACAGTCCACTGAGGCTTCCAGTCAGTCACCATGGCTCGCTGGACGCTTCCCAACTTTTTATTTCTCTTGCTTCTCTGCAGCTCCGACGGAAATGTTCCAAGAAGGTATGTCTCAAAGTTAAAATATTATTGTCTTAAATACTCAGTAAAATTCCTGATTTAAACATTTTTTAGCATCAAAATATACTTAAAGTACAAAAAGTACTCGGCACAATGGCCCTTTTCAGAATAATATTAAGTCCAGAAATATAATCAGATAAATGTACTTCAAGTATCAAAAGTAAAAGTACCTGTTAAGCAGAAAGGATATTTTCACAGTATTATATTATTATGGATTATTATAAGAGCAATCTAGTTTGTCAATAGGTGAGTTCACACCGGAGTACTTTGGAGTACTTTTCCCACAATAGTTCATCAGAACTACGATATATTTGCGTTCACACCAAAAAGCCCCAGGAACTAAAGTAGCTCAAATTAGTTCGTCCGACCCGCTTTTCAGTCCCTGCTAGAGAGCAGGGAATGTTGTGGGAGAAAATAGTTCGTACGTCTTATTGGCTGTGCGGAATGCAAACCACGCCCGTTTGACTCTGAATTTTTTTTTAAAGCGGCCATTGTATTTGCTCGCTTCGGGCAGCGTACCCAAAGAGATTACTTTTGTGAAAGCAGTTATTATAGCAACACTAAATAAATCATCGGAGCGGTGGAATTGATTAGGATGTCTCGGCGCTTCTGGCGATTTACTCGGAGGACGCGAAGAAACTCAGCATTTCTATTGTGGCTGAGTTATTGGCTTAAATAACTCAGCTACGAAGCTGTATAACACGACCACCAAAACGTCAACTCCATACCGTGTCTGAGGTCGGAAGGTAAACAGAAGCATACAGCGGAAGCGGAAGTTTTTTTTTTCTTCTTCTTCTTCTCTCGGTTTTTTGGCGAATTGCAACTTTAAGGTGCATACCGCCACCTACTGTACTCGCCGTGAAGTTGTTTGCGGCCTGCCAGTAAACCCAAAGCAGAAGAAGAAGAAGTGACGTCAGCGGCTCATTTGCCTAATCCACCCCCAGGAACTCATTTTGGTGTGAACGCGATCTGCTTTAGTTCATCAGAACTAAAGAGCTCTCATGAACTAAAGTTCTCATGAACTACTGTGGGAAAAGCAAATAAAGGATTTCTGATTCTGATTTCCATCGCTGGTTTTCTGCTGACTGTAAAGAGGATATATTTAAAGCTATGTTTCCTCTCTAACTAATGTGTCTGTCCTCTGTACAGACCCAGGTGGAGGGACAGGTAAGTGTTTGCACAGAGATCAAATGTTAAGTTTTAACCTCTGTCTCTGACAAGTTATAATTTCTGAAACTGCTCCCCAGATTTACACCTGTAGATTCTTTCTGGGAACTCCACGAGTAAGTAACTAAAGCTATACTTAACAGAAAACAACATGTAGTATAATATTTTAAATTTAGAAGGGAAATGTGTTTAATTAAACTCTGTATCAATGGAAATCAATAAAAAAAACAAATTAATTAAAACATTAATTAAATACAATCATCGCTGGTGTTTGAATGACACTGTAATTTCCTATAAATGTCTCCATTCCCCCTCTCCTTGTTTTGATACCATATGACTGACATTGCCATGTTATAATACCACACATTCATAATTGTTTTGCCTCATTTTGCAGAGTTGTGTCATGAATAACAATAATATTGATTCTGTTTTGTTTTTTTAAGGAGACCAAACCTAAAGGTCACAGTCAGTTCTGAACCAAGGTACGGTTGCCATAGGACAGTGTGTCCAAAACATGATTGGGTTACATTTGAACGACTTTCGCAGGATTTGCAGCGTTTGTATTCACTTCTGAGATCCACTCTCTTTCTTGGCTTTCTTTCTTGGAATTTCTGTTATCTTTCTGTAACAATTGAAGACATTTAAGTGTTATTGTTAGTGGTTTATGGTGGATATGCAACAGCAAAAGTAACGTAAAAGTAGTAGCCGTATTCAGGGTCAGATATCAAAGTCCAATTCTGACCTGACACCTAATGAAACATTTAAATGGAATTGATTTAATTTACATAACTGTTAAAATATTTGTATGAATGTTATTTCTTAAAGTATGAATAGTAGCAATGTGGAAGGGACCACACAAAGATATAGATATTTAAATTAAAGTGAATATACATTTTTAAGGCATTATTATTATTCTTATTAAAAAGTGATTATTCTCCACATATCTCAAATGATATGATCTGATCTGCTGTTCACTGACTGGATAATTATCCACGTTATGCCATGAAGTATGATGAGTGTGTACATTGGACATGTACAAACCTAACACCATTTTTGTTAGTATTTCTGACAGATTTTATTAAATGTTCCTGTAAGCATCATAATAAATGACAGATATTTTTCTAGGATTCGTATAATTACAATCATTGTATGTTATCATGCTGTTATCATATCAGTTTGTAGTGTCTCTACTTTAAAGAGTCCTCTCCTTCTGATGTCCAGGTGTATATCAGTTTGTAGTGTCTCTACTTTAAAGAGTCCTCTCCTGCTGATGTTCAGCTTCATATCAGTATGTAGTGTCTCTACTTTAAAGAGTCCTCTCCTGCTGATGTTCAGGTGTATATCAGTTTGTAGTGTCTCTACTTTAAAGAGTCCTCTCCTTCTGATGTCCAGGTGTATATCAGTTTGTAGTGTCTCTACTTTAAAGAGTCCTCTGCTGCTGATGTTCAGCTTCATATCAGTATGTAGTGTCTCTACTTTAAAGAGTCCTCTCCTGCTGATGTTCAGGTGTATATCAATATGTAGCTCCTCTACTTTAAAGATTCCTCTCCTGCTGATGTTCAGGTGTATATCAGTATGTAGCGTCTCTACTTTAAAGAGTCCTCTCCTGCTGATGTTCAGGTGTATATCAGTATGTAGTGTCTCTACTTTAAAGAGTCCTCTCCTGCTGATGTTCAGGTGTATATCAATATGTAGCTCCTCTACTTTAAAGAGTCCTCTCCTGCTGATGTTCAGGTGTATATCAGTATGTAGCGTCTCTACTTTAAAGAGTCCTCTCCTGCTGATGTTCAGGTGTATATCAGTTTGTAGTGTCTCTACTTTAAAGAGTCCTCTCCTTCTGATGTCCAGGTGTATATCAGTTTGTAGTGTCTCTACTTTAAAGAGTCCTCTCCTGCTGATGTTCAGCTTCATATCAGTATGTAGTGTCTCTACTTTAAAGAGTCCTCTCCTGCTGATGTTCAGGTGTATATCAATATGTAGCTCCTCTACTTTAAAGAGTCCTCTCCTGCTGATGTTCAGGTGTATATCAGTATGTAGCGTCTCTACTTTAAAGAGTCCTCTCCTGCTGATGTTCAGGTGTATCAGTTTGTAGTGTCTCTACTTTAAAGAGTCCTCTCCTTCTGATGTCCAGGTGTATATCAGTTTGTAGTGTCTCTACTTTAAAGAGTCCTCTCCTGCTGATGTTCAGCTTCATATCAGTATGTAGTGTCTCTACTTTAAAGAGTCCTCTCCTGCTGATGTTCAGGTGTATATCAGTATGTAGTGTCTCTACTTTAAAGAGTCCTCTCCTGCTGATGTTCAGGTGTATATCAGTATGTAGTGTCTCTACTGGGACATGTCTCCATGCTTTAATGTTCAAAAAGCTCTTTATTTTTCTCATACTGCCTGTGCTGCAGCACCTCTTTTCACCCTCTGTCTGAAACCAGAGCCCAGT